GAGAGAGAGAGAGAGAGAGAGAGAGGCGGCGATGGTCTGGTGAGGAAGAGAAGATGCGAAGCGAAGAAGAAGAGGGAGGAGAAGAGGAGGAGGAGAATGTGCTGCGCTAGGGTTTTTTAACTCACGAGCTGGTTGTTAAAAAAGCCCGGTCCGGACCGACCCGGCCCTAAATAGGGATAATATTCAAAATTTAAAACTATTCCCGACCCAGAGGAGGTCCGTCCCGAATAAGCCCTAAATTTTCGGGCTGGCCAGATTTTTTTGACAGCCCTAGTTTTTTGAACCCTTTTTGGACCCACACTGTTCCTCCTATTCCACATCAAGGTTCCTTGACGTGGAATATGAACTTTATGGTTTCGGGTTCTTGATGTCAGGTTCCTTGATGTGGAATATGAACTGGTTCCTTGACGTGGAATATGAACTTTATGGTTTCGGGTTCTTGATGTCAGGTTCCTTGATGTGGAATATGAACTTTATGGTTTCGGGTTCCTTGACGGCGAATAGGAGGTCCAAAAAGGGTTCGAAAAGCAACTGGGACGTTCCTTAATGTGGATTAGGATCTTTACATCCACACTGTTCCTTGATGTGGAATAGGAGGTCCAAAAAGGGTTCAAAAATCAGGTTCCTTGACGACGGGGAATATAAACTTTATGGTTTCAGGTTCCTTGATGTGGAATAGGAGGTCCAAAAAGGGTTCAAAAAACAACTGGGACGTTCCTTAACGTGGATTAGGATCTTTACACCCACACTGTTCCTTGATGTGGAATAGGAGGTCCAAAAAGGGTTCAAAAAACCACTAGGGCTCAAGTATTTAACTGCCCTTCGCTCTCTCTCGCTCTCTCTCCCCCATAAGTGTGTTTCAAATCCCTGTCCAAACACCCGAAGACGGAAAAAAGAACGGCTTTTCAAATGGAGAGAACGGCCAGCGGCCACGAGTACAAGGTCAAGGACATGTTGCAGGCCGACTTTGGCCGCCTCGAGATCGAGCTCGCGGAGGACCAAATGCCCGCCCTCATGTCCTGCCGCTCCGTGTTCGGCCCCTCGCAGCCCCTCAAGGGCGCGAGAATCACCGGCTCCCTCCACATGACCATCCAGACCGCCGTCCTCATCGAGACCCTCACTACCCTCGGCGCCGAGGTCCGCTGGTGTTCGGGCAACATCTTCTCCACCCAGGACCATGCTGCGGCCGCCATCGCCCGCGACTCTGCTGCTGTCTTCGCCTGGAAGGGCGAGACCCCCCAGGAGTACTGGTGGTGCATCAAGCGGGCCCTCGACTGGGGACTTGGCGGCGGCCCTGACCTCATCGTCGATGACGGGGGCGACGCCACCCTCCTTATCCACGAGGGCGTCAAGGCGGAGGAGGCCTACCGGAACACCGGGAGGCTCCCCGACCCACCGTCCACGGACAAGGCCGAGTTCCAGATAGTGCTGACCATAATCAGGGACGGGATGAAGACCGATCCGAAGAGGTATCACAAGATGAAGGAGAGACTCGTCGGAGTCTCCGAGGCGACCACCACTGCTGTCGAGAGGTTGTACCGGATGCAGGCCAATGGGACTCTCTTATTCCCTGCAATTAATGTCAACGACTCTATCACCCAGAGCAAGGTACTAATAACGAATCTGATCGCTCCAGTTATATGGCTGAGTAGATTGTAAGTAGCTCCATTTATTTCTTTCTTGGAACAGTGCTCTTGCATGAAACAGTTTCAAAACTTGTGCGGTTGCCGCCCCTCTGGGCCTGACGGTCTAATGATGGCAACCGACGTCGAGATCGCTGGAAATGTCACACCCCAAAAACAACTAGAAAAGGGGGATGACACGACCATCTTTCCACACGAAGGACGCAGCCACGACAATAACCAACAACCTGTTATCAACATATATATCTCAAACCACATATATATCAGATAAACCAACGGGTTGGTTACGTCATCAGAGTTTCTATAATCCACCAAAAGAACATGTACATCAAGAACTCAGCCAACCCGACGAACTATCAACAACCTTACAAACAACTCCAAAAAATCATACCCAAAAATCTAACTCCCAAACGTCCCCGCAATAGCGCTCTCGTACTAACGGCCGCTAGCCGAGGAACCTGAAAAGATTGGGAAAGAGAGGGATGAGCAACCACAGCTCAGTGAATAGTACATCTCTTCTAAGTAGATCGAGCAATCACTATGCATGTGTACAAAGCAATACCAGAACTTCAGAAGTCAAACCCAAGGTTTAAAATACATATAGAATCACATAAGAGTTATTTCATTTCATCAAAACTTTGTACAAGTCACAAATACACATTTAAATCCACCATCACAATTCAAACTATCAATGGTCAAGTCCATTGATCAATCTCTATACAAACCACGTCAATGGTCCATTCCATTGACTAATCTCAAATCACACATCAATGGTCTATTCCATTGATGAATCTCATATCATATCAAACGTCAATGGTCCATTCCATCGACCAATCTATTGCTCAATATCTAACTATGGTCACGACACAAAGCCTTGTGACAAGGCTACCAAGATTCCCCCCTTGGCAAGGTCTCCACCTACAAAGCCGGTGGCTCGGCCCAGAAGGATATCCTAAACCCGGTATGCATACCCCAAAACCCCTCAATGGGTTCACAGTCATATTGAGCATCAAACAATCATCATCCAATATCAGAATTCCAATCCATAATACATTTCACAAACCAAACAAATAACTTTCTCACAATACGGCTCATCCGCCAGAAATACATATCGTAGAGCATTTCTTGAATAATTTCCGAACTCATTTCATAAACTAGTTCATAACACAATATACAAATGTATCCTTTCATAATACATTTCCAAAAACGATTCCCAAATCATTCTCAAATACTAAAAAGTAGTAAATGCTCGATCCCAATTTATGCAGCAAAATGCTCTTTTAAGTTCAACATATATATTTATATCGAATCATAATTCTTTCGAGATATGATTTTTATAAAACCAAAGAAGAGATAGTACCACTCACCTTGAAAAGCTGAAAACTAACCTATAGCGGTTTCTCGAGCCGACGCACTCGAATACCTAACAATAAGCCGAAAAACGGTATCAAAACCGAGTAAAATGATACTTCAACTACGATTCGGCTCAACTAAGCTTAGACGCTAATATAACGACTAAAAGACGCCCCCAAATCATTCGTCCAAAGCGATTATCCAAATTCGTCCACGATGCGGAATTTGAGCGCGAAACTTAATTGCGCCATAACTTTCTCCACTAAACTCCGTTCTAAGCGAACTTATAGTCAAGAGAAAGCTTATTCAGAGCACTACAGGAACCCCAACTTGGTAGCCCCAAAATCGAGCCGAAAACCGACGAAAATCGGCCTAAAAACCACTGTTCGCGCACTGTTTACTGCGCGTACTCAACTTCAAAAATTCATATCCAGCAAACCGTAAGTCCAAATCAGGTTCCGTAAAATCCCACGGCTCCGCAATACTGTAAACTACCAATTCTATAAAAATACGCAGCTGAACGACTCAAAAATCAGACTTCGCCGCTTGAATTTCCCAAAATTCCGAATTTAAACCCTAAATCGGAAAACTTCTCCGATCAAACGAACGAGGGGCGCGAGTGCTTACCGAAAGTTAAAATACAAAGTTGATCCGAGCTGGCGAGGCTCCGATGACGTGAGCCTTTCCTTTTTCTTCTTCTTCATTTCCTTTCCCTTTCTCTCTTTTTCTTTCTTCTCCTTTTTCTCTGTCTCGGCCGAGCCAGCTCTCGGCTTAAATGAGAAAATCAGAGTGTTACTGTAGCAACTTTTGACTTTCTGACTTTTTGATATATATATATTTTTTTTATTTTTTTTTCGCAAATACCCGAATATTACAGGAAAAGTTGCCGTGGTCTGTGGATATGGAGACGTGGGCAAGGACCGCGCTGCTGCTCTTAAGCAGGCTGGTGCTCGTGTCATTTTGACCGAGATCGATCCCATCTGTGCTCTCCAAGCTCTCATGGAAGGTATCCAGGTCCTAACCCTCGAGGATGTTGTCTCCGAGGCTGACATCTTTGTCACCGCCACCGGCAACAGAGACATCATCACGGTCGACCACATAAGGAAGATGAAGAACAACGCCATCGTCTGCAACATCGGTCGCTTCAATAACGCGATCGACATGCCGGGCCTGGAGAACTTCCCGGGCGTGAAGCGCTTCACCACCAACCCCCAAACGGACAGGTGGGTCTTCCCCGACACCGAGTCGGGCGTCATCGTGTTGGCGGAGGGACGCCTCGTGAACTTGGGTCGCGCCGCCAGCCACCCCAACTTGGCGACGTCCTGCTCCTTCACGAACCACGCGATCGCGCAGCTCGAGCTGTGGATGGAAAGGCACACCGGCAAGTATGAGAAGAAGGTCTACGTCTTGCCCAAGCATCTGGACGAGAAGGTGGCCAGTCTTCACCTCGGCAAGCTGGGCGCTAAGCTCACCGAGCTTAGCAAGGAGCATGCCGACTGAAAGTGTCCCCGTTCAGGGTTTAAAGGTGGGCCGTGGATGAAGTTTGGAAGAAGGCCTGTAGAATAAAAATATATATAATGTATAATAAGAGAATGCATGTATGACTTGGAGTTTGGAAGAAGGCCTGTAGAATAAAAATGTATATAATGTGTGATCAGAGATGCATGTATGACCGTTCCTACTCTTATGACTGAAGGTTTCCCCAGCTACAAATAGAAAATGAAGTAAAGTTAAATTAAACTCCCCTCGGCCTCAATGATTCTCAAAGCTGAAGGGCGACGACCATTAATAGTGGAATATTAATTAAATAAAAAAAAGAACCTGAACCCGCCCGAACAAAACCCAACCCTAGATTCGGATCAGGTCTCCTTCCGGTTCGGATAACAAGAGAAAAATCGGACATTGTGGACGATTCGGTTCCGAAACACGCCAAAAAAACCCAACCCGAGATTCGGATCAGGTCTCCCTCCCAGCGTCTTGGTGTCTTCGAGGTTCGATCTCTGATTTACTCTTCCTTTTTTTCGTGATTTTCGTCTGTTGAGCATCAAGCAGGCTCAGAGATAAAAGTTCAAAGCGTCTTCAACGACTCCATCGAATTCGATTTTTTACCTGTTTGAGCGTTTAAATTTGCCACGTCAGATGGATGGTGCTGCCTTTCGTGTGCCTAAGTTGGAGGATTGTGTAGACATCGAAATGCTCAGAGTGTTCATTAGTTGTGTTCCATGCAATATTCGATTGGCGGAGGAAAGGTGCGTGAAATTATGAACAGGGGCGTGGTGTGAGAGAACCCCTTCTCTTGGTGGCAACACTCAAGAGATATAAGGTTTCTGCATTATGTGAGGAGAGTGATGTATATAATCTCCTTAGCTTCTTTGCTTTGGGAACTTCCTTATTTGATTGTTGACCGGACAAATTTCGGGTGGTTTTTGGCAGCTGCTTTTAATCGCTATTTTGCTTTGTTCTCCAAGTTGAATGTTGGGTACGGGAGGATTGAGAGTTTTAAGAACTTTTGAGGGTGCTTCATGATCTCTTCAGCTGTGTTAGGTTATCTGCGTCTTCCAGGGAAACTAGAGCTGAGAAAAGTATTTCGTCTTATGTATAAACTTTCCAATTGGGCATCATGCGTTCGTTGTTCTCCTTCTGAGCTTGTTTGAGTCATTTCTAAGATGTTGATGAATTGCAGGGTTTGGATTTTTGCACGACAAGTTTGGGGGTACATGCATAGGGTGGAATCGTGTTGTGCAGATGCTTGAGTTGAGTCGATGTGTATAAAATTTCGATTTTCCTGCCCAGGGAAATGTGTTTGTACTTGGCGTTTGCTAGTTCTTGAATTGTTTCAAGGCGCACTAACTGGAGTTATTTTATATAGAGGTTGGATTCTTCATGGGCGCATGATTATGTGTTTATTTCCTCGCACATGTAGAGCAGTTTTGGAGCCTTTGTACTCTCCAAGTAGCTGAAGCCATATCACATAGGGCAGCAATTTGGAGAACAGAACCCTTCTGTGATGTCAATTGCATTTTGTGTTTTCAAGAAGTTGTGCAGAGTTATAGTTCAGCATGTACAGATGTGCTTGTCGTAACTTTATAATCTCACTTGTTATTGTGGTTTTGTTATCCTGAAAGTTGCAGGACTACAGCTTACATACTTCATAGTGCTTTTCTACTTATTAATGACATTCTTTGGCAGGACTCCATGCCAAAGAATCCTGCCACTTAGGCTAGCTTTTCTAGTTATTTGTCAAGAGGCTGTAAAAGACTACAACTTCCATATTACATTGTGCTTTTTTCATTTGATTGTAGAGGAAAATTGGTCTGGCACATTTTATTTGATTGTAATAATAATTTGCTGGTTTCAAGTGTCACAGACAGAAGGATTGCAAGATGTCTACAATGAGGGATCTTAGTGCCACAAATAGAAGGAGAAGATTCGTTGTGTGGGATCACTTTAAAAGGATTCCTTGTGCAGACAAGAGCATTAGAGGCTGTGCCTATCTCAACTATAGCATCAGAGGCCGCATTTAGCATAGGACGTTGTGTGCTTGACGTGTTTAGTAGCTCCATGACCGCAAGTATGGTGGAGGCTCTTACATGTGCTCAAGGTTGGCTACGATCTGCACCAGTTCCACTTTCGACTGAGGACTTAGAAGAACTCACAAATTTTGAGTTAGGTGAAAAAAAATTTTTATAGAATGTTTACGCCATTCTATATTACAATGGATACTTTAGTTCTGATTTTCATTGTGAATTTAGTGCAGAGTTGTCCACTACGAACATGGAGTCGAACTCGATATTGGTTTCTCTTGACGATTGAAGAAGTTGGAGATTGATGCTCGTCAAACCAATTTCTTATTTTTATTGCGAATTTACTTTCTTCATATTCTGTATCAGGCGTTTAGTAATTGCTGTCTTCTTCATTCCCTACTTGCAGGTTGACCTTAGTTGAGCAAGAAAACCAATGGTGTTTCTGGGTGTGCTTTCTTTTTCTGTCAGTAGTCCTTGGTGCATGTTCAGAGTTTTCTTTTTTAACCTTTCTAAACTGACTAGGGACCGGAATGTTAGAAAAATATCTTCTTAGAGACTCATTCCTTGCTTCTGTTATGGATGGTTGGTAGTTGCATGGAGAGATGGAACCTGATAGTTAGTTCTCTCATGCACGGAAATCTTTGTAGAGTAATCTCACATGCACAGAGAACTTCACATGTTGTGTATTAGGCATTTAGTGATTTTTGTCTTCTTCATTTCCTACTCGCAGGTCTGGTAACACTGCTTACTTGCATATCTCAGTAGCCTTTATCCAGAAATGCCGAGATTATACTTTCTATTTCTGTGCGTGTTCCTCTCTGTAAATTTACCTCCAATAGTGAAATTCCTGTTGTTACATTTTTTTTTTGGTAAGGAAAAAAAAAATGTAATCACAATATTCATTTTTTCAGCCAATACATTCAATGTTCATGTCAATGCTTAGAGTGATACTTTTCATTGTGGGGGAAAACAATTTTTCCACTGTGTGACTGGTAATCCGCTGTGACCTGGAGCCATGAAATGTTCTTCTTGATAATGAAATGACTGCTCATGTAAGTGATTCTGGTTTGGCAAGGCTGGTGTCAAGTTTGGGTAAAGATCATGCGAATCGCTCAATATCAAGGGTACCATATGATATGCAGCTCCAGGTACGATTCCTCATGAATTTTCTTCTAGTGATAATGTGATACAGAGGCAATAGTACTTGTGTTTAATCAGATTGGAAGGCATGGGAGCCGAGCTATCTAGTCGCAGAGACGTGTACAGCTAAGGAATACTCTTGCTTGGGACAAGACCTACCGGCGAATCACTCCGAGATGAATTGAAGCTGCACAAGTATGCTACGATGGCATTGCCTGATTGTGTCCTGGAGTTGTGGACCAAACGATCCTGCAAGAGGTCTCGGAAGAAGTAGAAGATATTTGCAATTCCTATGTCGGCAACTCAGCAGGCAAGCAAGAAAGAATGAACACGAGAGCCGTTGGAGTGAATTTGCTTTCAATCTGAGATGAATGTATCTTGGAACTGAAGTGCATGGAAGCTACTGACATTGATAATGCCAATTCAAGCGTTCCGCATTCACAACTGCAACTCTTCACATCTCAAATTCCACCTTGTGATGAAGTCCTGGAATTCCAGTTTTTGTTTTTCTTTTACTTGAATTTGTCTCCTTTTGGAAAGAAAGTCTTTGCCGAGTGTGCTTGTCAGGCGGTCATCTTATTACAGGTGAATCTTATGTTGATTAGTATTAGTGTCATGCGTAGTATCATCTGTGATTCTGGGCAAAAAACACGTCTGACCACACCTATGATGCTTGGATATGGCGAGGCTCGAGCCTCGCCCAGCTTGCTGGCCACAAGCTGGTGAGGCTCGACCTCGCCGAAATCTGGCGAGCTCGAGCCTCGTCTGTGGCTGGTTGCCGGCCGTTGCCGTGGCCGGCAATCGACCGAAGAAGCAAAGAAAAAAAAAGGAAAAAAAAGAAAAAAGAAAAAATCGATTTTTTTAAAAGGAAAAAAGAAAAATGTGTTTTTTGAAAGAAAATGAGGTGAAGGAAGTTATGGAAAGAGAGGAAAACATTTTCCTCACTTTTGAATGTGTTTTTTCCATTGAAGGAAAATGTTTTTCATAATTATATTTTCCGTGAAATGAACGTCGAAAAATCAAGAAAACATTTTCCTGAAAGTTGGTCCTAAGTATATCTCTGCGCCGGCTGTCTTACGTGACACTACCGGCATCCACGTCAATGATTTCCAGTTAAAATTGACTGAATAGACTTAATTGGCAAAATGTGAAAAATTTTAGGACTTAATTGATAAAATTGAAAAGTTTAGGATTCAATTTTAAAAAATACAAGGGGTTGATGACTTTTTGAACAATTTTGGCAAATTTTACCGGTGAAGATTTTGAAGAGGCCAGAGGGGGCCTGTTTAGTTTACAGCCCAGATGGACCGTTCTTCCGCCGCGTGGTCCCTCCCAGCCACACCCTCTCTCTCTCCCTTATTTCTTTCCCTAATTTGGTTATTCTCTCTTCTTCCTTCTCATCCTCATGTTTTTTTTTTATTTTGTTCCGATGAGAATAGAAAATGCACCTAGGGTGCGTTTGTGTCGATGAAAGAGTTTTTCACAAATTAATTTTCCGAACTTTCACGTGTTTAGTTCGTTAAAAATGGTTAGTTAACACAAAAACATTTACAATCAAATAGAACTCCCACACTTAAAATTAGAAAAACGGATTTCCGTTTCTAAATAGAGGAAATCATTCTCCTTAGCATGTCAAGTTTCTTGACAAACGTTCACTTCTTTACATTTTTCAATACCCATTATTCCAAATGAGATCCAAACATCCGAAAATGTTTTCAGTTGCAATATTTTTAGCTTACCACCAAATGAATGAACAGAAACCATTTTCCTTAAAAATAATTTCCATAGAACGCATTTTCCTTTGTCATGAAGTTTTATGCGAAACAAATACACCATTAATTTGAAAAAATATTGGGTGCTCAACGAGTGTCGGTAGGGTTTACACAGATCCATTCACCATTGCCACATGCACCCTATTACCTGGACCGGCCCAGTCAAGTCGGTTCGAGTTTTCGGGTGCGATCCTAGACCCATTCTTAGGGGTCGAGCTCAATTTTTTGGCTGGAGGCCAAAATATATGACAAGCTCGGAATGGTGCTTCTTGACATAAAATATATAGATTATCAATTTAATTCTGCTTTTGGAGGATATATAGTTAGTTTAATTTTACCAAGTTCATATTCGGACATATTTTTCTTTAAATCGTTCGGTCTAGCGTGATTTTTCCAACTTATGATTATTTATCAAATCTCATAAATGTCTTTTCTTTGGACGATGGAAACGAAAGGCACAATTTCCGCCAAAAATCTGTTCCAAATCAAATCAAATTGACAACGAACAAAGAACATTCGTTGTGTATAAATATAATTAGATAGGAAGTATTGGTTTGTATCTAAACTTGCATCACGAACCAAATTAAATCAAGCCATGCTAATGTATTTCCTGAATGCAGCAATTAGCAAATACATAAAAAAATCTGTTCTAAATCGAGCCAAATTGATAATAAATAAAGGGTTCGTTCGACTAGAGTTGCAATTATCGATTTGCTTCCAGTTTGGATATAATTTTTCAAGACAAAAAAGTATTTGTTTGTATTTGAACTCCATCACAAACCAAATTAAATCAAACCATTCTAATAAAATTTCCTTATTTCCGCATATACATATTATCAACCACCGCCCACAAAAAAGAAACTATATTGTAGCATTCTTTTTTTTTTTTTTTTTTGGTAACCCAGGGAACCCCAGCACGGCCGGCAGCCGGGGAGTAAACCCTGGGGGCAACACGTGCTAGCCACCACACACGTGCCACCGGTTAAGTCACCCTGCGGCGCTCGGGATTCGAACACTCAACCTTTTGCGAGAGGAAGAGTGCGCGTTCCAGCAGCGCCACTCAGGCGGGTGGTATATTGTAGCATTCTTTATAGCTCATGTACTCAAATTTTATTTATCCACATTCTAATTATAAGTTCGACCAAAAAAAACATTCTAATTATAAGCAAATAGATCCGGCCATGACCCTTCTCTCTCTCTCGCTCATCTTGTCAAAACTTGAGCATCAGCTGATAATCCATCCTCCGAGAAATCGAAGATGTCGTCACTCTTGCACAAGGTGTGCACAATGTCCACCATTCTCGGCCTCCTCGACGGTCCCGGTTCAAGCACGAGAACGCGACACTCACCACGCTTGCGACGCTCTCCACCAAGCACGACGAGTCGACCACCAGGCCCTCGTCCATCCGCCCCCTCAGCCTCTCGGCCTTCCCGATCTCCTCGCTGCTGCGCCCCCCAAAGGCCACGGCCATGGCGGCCCACATCACCCTCCCCTCCTCGTCCATCGCCTCCCTCCTCAAGACCAGCTCGAGCAGGACGACCCCAAAGGAGAACAAGTCCATCCTCATGAACACGCCCCGTCGGATAGGTACTCCAAGGCGATGTAGCCCTGGGTGCCCACGATGGGCATGGTGATGGCATTGCAACCCGACTTCGCGAGGCCGAAGTTGGCGATCTTGATGTTGCTGCTCTTGATGTCCTTGTGGACCGTTAGAATATTTAAATATTAATCATGTCTTCATCTAACAACTTAAGTTTTTAGAATAGTTGATAATGATCCCACAAAATCTCACATGTTATGAGAGTCGGGAGGTCTCGAGTTCAAATCAAGCCCCTATATGCATCTATAATTACATATTTTCACGTTTTAGATTTAGACCAAAATCCAACCTATGCGTAAAAGGAAGTGTTGGAATATTTAAATATTAACGCGCACAAAGAGACTGGTCACTGGGGTCATGGGCTTAGCCATCGGGTTTCCATAGGAATTGGGTACCAAGATTGATTGCCGAGGTTCCAGGCCCGCCTTAGGAGACGTAGGCGTGGGCACTAAGGAGTAGCCGGGCCTTAGAACTGGCAGCCATACCCGAGACCCCCATGAATGAGCCAAGGTCCTCAAGGCCGGGCCCGAGATCACGGGACTTCAGTGAACGTACCCCAATCCCCAATGACTAAGCTCGAGTCCATGAGTATGGGTTCGGGACCCCAGCGCCCAAGCCCAAGTCCCCAGCGCTCAAACCTAGAACCGGGAGTTTGTTCTCAAGACTTTTTCTCGAAACATGTATTTCATCATTTTCCTCTAACAAACATAAGAAAATTACTTTCATATTATTTATAAAATACAATTAGAAAATAAATTTTTTAAACATTTCAATAATATTCATTTTTCATAATCGGAGTTTTATGAGGGAAATGCGCACCATTCGGCTAATTAATCGATAACATAGGCGCCTTCCGCGATTTGTCTTCTAGTTCGTATATTCCTCACACAACCGACTTTTAACTAATTAATACTAAACAGCACTAGAGTCTAGACAATAAAACAAAAGTATAATATAATCATCATAAATTCATAATAATACGTGCATCGCGACACAACATGCATGAAAGTAATTCGTACCCAAGAAAAATACTGGTGGAAAATCATGCATCGCGACACAACATGAAAAATACTGGTGGAAAAACTGAGTAGTTCCTACCCAAGCAATCAACCAATCACAACATGCATAAGGAAGATTTAAAAAGCAAAATTCATGGCTACATCACATCAATGCAGGAATGCAAGTGTAGTTTTCCCCGGATCTAATGTTTGATTTCGACCTGATCTTGATATGTGGGGCATAACTGGAATGTTGAAGAAAACCCATCTCGGCTTTTTAGCAAAAACAAAAAATCCATCTCGACTTGCTTTTTTTATAAAAAAAATCTTTTTTGGGTAAACCTAGATTTACTTAAATAAGTAGGCAAACTAATGTAAATGATCTCATTACTCATCGAGTCATGTTCAATTCAGATAGCATACAATGAAAATTTGCACAAATAATTAGAAAAGCTCAAGCACTGACAATTGATTTTTTCCCCTTGTAAGGAAAATCGTAAAGATGCCCGATATCGCAAATTATTAAATTACCATAGAGGATTCATCAAAGACAGAGACGGGATGGAAAAGCCTACTTTCGGTCCTTTACTTAAGATTGAAATTCATTTTAATGATTTAGTCATGAAATATGCATTTCGCCATCATTAATCGGTCAAGTCTATGTAATCGATTTAGCAAGAGTGAAAAATGGTGATCACATTTCAATGGAAAATTACTAAAAAAAGTCATAAATTTATTCTACAATTGCCAATTCAATCATAAACCTTTTAATTTAGTCAATTTAGTCCTAAACCTATTGACGATTTGCCAATGTAATCCTTTCAGTCAATTTTGGCTGGAAATCGCCAACATGAAGTGCGGCCGTCCTACATGGCACGGCCAAAGCTAACGTGGATAATTTGTAATAATGTTTATGAATTTTTTAAAATATTTTTTCCTTTTCTTTTCTTTCCTTTTTCTTTTTTCTTTCTTATTTCCTTTCATCGGTCTACGGCCTTGACGGTGGCTGGGGGAGGTCGCCAACCCCAGGTGAGTGCGCCAGGCTGGATCTAGGCGAGGGTTGCAACACCCTCCCTAGATCTGGGTAGCGTGGCCACGCCTAGACATAGCGAGGGCATCGTGGCCTGTGCCCAGGTCCTGGGCAGCAATCGCCGACCTAATTAATAAAAAAAAGAAAAGGAAAAGGGCAATAAAAGAAAAAAAATAAGAATTTTTTAAAAAATTGCAAATATCGTCCACGTCAGTGCCGATCATATCACATAAAACAGTTGGCATTCACATTGCGATTTTTGGTCAAAATTGACCGGAATGACTAAATTGGTAAATCGTCAAAAGATTTGGGACTAAATTAGCAAAATTGAAAAGTTTAAGAATGAACTGATTTATATTTTTTTTGGTCATTTTTCCCACATTTCATAGTACAGCGATCAAAATGACTTTCTCATTCAAAGCGTATGGAACAAAGATGGCACACCTCAAGTCTAATAAACGGAGACCTAAATAAAGAAATAAAGTGAAACCAACAAAATATACATCAGGAAACTAAAAGCACGATTTTTGTAATCCACGGCAATGGTTTTCTTTTTCTTTTCTCTTTTTCCTCTTGCGAAGCATTTGCTTAATGCTTTAAATCTGGTTCTTGAGAGAGACTTCTTCACCAATCCCGACGCCTTCGATCGGCGGCCGGCGGGCTCGACCCTTCGCTTGCCGTACCCGTCGTGTGCCATGATTATCCCATTGCACAGAGAAAAAGGGAGAGACCGATGCTTATGTACGACCTTAGCTTGACATGTCTGAAGAATTAGTGAAGTAGACGGCATTCAATCTCGGCGGCGATAGGAAGAGGCTTCTCGTACCGCACGTGCATTCACGGGCCCAGATCTCCCTCGAAGCTGGGCCTTGCTCTGGCGAAACTTCTGGTCTGTCAGTCTGGAGATGTCTCGGGACAAGCCCGTGACTGTTGCTGCTTGACCGGTTTGGAAAAGTAGCACCGATATCACAAGGCTATTAGTGCTAAGTTATTAAATCTCCGTTTAACTTCCAATTTTTACATAAAACAAAATTCAAAATGGATGTTTAGCGCTCAAACTTTCACCAAACAGTCGGATTTTATTAGGACGATTGCGTCATCGGCCATGCACAGACACGAACACACAGGGGAAGAACGCTGTCGAATTCCTTTTATGTAGGCCGGGCCTACAAATCTAGCCCATCATCGAAGCTAGGCTCGATTTGTTCTACACGGCCCACCATCGGTGCTCTAAGCCAAACCCAAATCCTGACCGTCCATCATGCGTGCTCCAGTTTCAGCGTCCGGCTTCTACGCCAACCATCTTCTCCCTTTTTTCACCATGTCCACCAACATCCAACACCAAATTCTGACCGTCCATTTCTCTCTTAATAAAGTATTGAGCAATGCTCGTAGAACGGTGCCGTTATTGATTGAAAACGACGGTCCACTTTCACCCATCACCTTTCACTTCAAGAGGAACCGGCATGACCGGTGAGAAAATTATCCAAAAAGTCATAAATTTATTATATTTTTGCCAATTCAATCTTAAATTTTTTCAATTTTATCAATTAAGTCATAAACATTTTCACGTTTTGTCAATTGAGTCTACTTAATCAATTTTAACAGGAAATTACTAATATGAATACGGACTGTACTACAAGGTACGACGTGTTCGTAACGCATCAAGGAACCCAATATGTTTTGGGCTCCTTGATGCGTTGATGTTCCTTAACGTGGGTTGGAGGGTGTTTTGGCTGGATTCAAAAAAGTTGAAAAAACCAGGGTACTCAGAAAACCACCAAGTTAACAGACCACATGAGCCGAGCCAACCACAAAAAACCTCTCCAACTCATACCGTTGAACCCAGCCAAAAGAAAAACTTTTTTAAATTCACCAGTGATTTTTTTAACCTTTTTAAATTCATACCGTTTGTTGATGGGCTGTTAAAATGCAGGAACCGTTTGAGTTTTGATAACCTTTTGACGTCAAAAGGTTCCTGCACATCACATCAACAAACAACAATGGATTTAAAAAGGTTAAAAAAACCACTGGGGCTCAAGTATTTAACTCCCTTCGCTCTCTCTCGCTCTCTATCCCCCCAGAGTGTGTTTCAGATCTCTGTCCAAACACCCGAAGACGGAAAAAAGAATGGCGTTTCAAATGGGGAGAACGGCCAGCGGCCGCGAGTACAAGGTCAAGGACATGTCGCAGGCCGACTTTGGCCGCCTCGAGATCGAGCTCGCGGAGGTCCAAATGCCCGCCCTCATGTCCTGCCGCTCCGTGTTCGGCCCCTCGCAGCCCTTCAAGGGCGCGAGAATCACCGGCTCCCTCCACATGACCGTCCAGACCGCCGTCCTCATCGAGACCCTCACCGCCCTCGGCGCCGAGGTCCGCTGGTGTCCGGGCAACATCTTCTCCACCCAGGACCACGCGGCGGCCGCCATCGCCCGCGACTCCGCTGCCGTCTTCGCCTGGAAGGGCGAGACCCCCCAGGAGTACTGGTGGTGCATCGAGCAGGCCCTCGACTGGGGACCCGGCGGTGGCCCCGACCTCATCGTCGACGACGGGGGCAACGCCACCCTCCTTATCCACGAGGGCGTCAAGGCGGAGGAGGCCTACCAGAACACCGGGAGGCTCCCCGACCCAGCGTCCACGGACAACGCCGAGTTCCAGATCGTGCTGACCGTAATCAGGGACGGGATGAAGACCGATCCGAAGAGGTATCACAAGATGATGGATAGACTCGTCGGAGTCTCCGAGGCGACCACCACTGCTGTCGAGAGGTTGTACCGGATGCAGGCCAATGGGACTCTCTTATTCCCTGCAATTAATGTCAACGACTCTGTCACCCAAAGCAAGGTACTAAAAACGAATCTGATCGCTCCAGTTATATGATTGAGTAGAGTCACGAGTAGCTCTATTTATTTCTTTCTTGGAACAGTGCTCTTGCATGAAACAGTTTCAAAACTTGTGCGGTTGCCGCCCCTCTGGGCCTGACGGTCTAATGATGGCCACCGACGTCGAGATCGCTGGAAAAGTTGCCGTGGTCTGTGGATATGGAGACGTGGGCAAGGACCGTGCTGCTGCTCTCAAGCAGGCTGGTGCTCGTGTCATTGTGACCGAGACCAATCCCATCCGCGCTCTCCAAGCTGTCCATGAAGGTATCCAGGTCCTAACCCTCGAGGATGTTGTCTCCGAGGCCGACATCTTTGTCGTCACCACCGGCGCCAGTGAGGGCATCATCACGGTCCACCACATGAGGAAGATGAAGAACAACGCCATCGTCTGCAACGTCGGTCGCTTCAATAACGCGATCGACATGCCGGGCCTGGAGAACTTCCCGGGCGTGAAGAGCTTCACCACCAATCCCCAAACGGACAGGTGGGTCTTCCTCGACACCGAGTCGGGCATCATCGTGTTGGCGGAGGGACGCCTCGTGAACTTGGGTCGCGCCGCCAGCCACCCCAACTTGGCGACGTCCTGCTCCTTCACGAACCACGCGATCGCGCAGCTCGAGCTGTGGATGGAAAGGGACACCGGCAAGTATGAGAAGAAGGTCTACGTCTTGCCCAAGCATCTGGACGAGAAGGTGGCGGCTCTTCACCTCGGCAAGCTCGGCGCTAAGCTCACCGAACTTAGCAAGGAGCATGCCGACTGAAAGTGTCCCCGTTCAGGGTTTAAAGGTGGGCCGTGGATGAAGTTTGGTAGAAGGCTTGTAGAATAAAAATATATATAATGTATAATAAGAGAATATGGATGACTTGGTCCTTCTCTTATGACTGAAGGTTTCCCCAGCTATAAATAGAAAATGAAAGTAAAATAAACTCCCCTCGGCCTCAATGATTCTCAAAACTGAAGGGCGACGACTATTATTAGTGGAATATTAATTAATTAAATAAAAAGAACCTGAACCCGACCGAACAAAACCCGACCCGAGATTCGGATCAGGTCTCCTTCCGGATCGGATAATTAGAGAAAAATCGGACATTGTGGACCATTCGGTTCCGAAACACGCCAAAAAAATCTGACCCGAGATTCGGATCAGGTCTCCCTCCCAGCGTCTTCAAGGTTCGATCTCTGATTCCCTCTTCCTCTTTTTTGCGATTTTCGTCAGTTGAGCATCAAGCACGCTCAGAGATAAAAGTTCAAAGCGTCTTCAAAGACTCCATATAATTCGATTTTTTACCTGTTTGAACGTTTAAATTTGCCACGTCAGATGGATGGTGCTGCCTTTCGTGTGCCTAAGTTGTAGGTAGGATTGTGTAGACATCGAAATGCTCATAGTGTTCATTAGTTGTGTTCCATGCAATATTCGATTGGCAGAGGAAAGGTGCGTGAAATCATGAACAGGGGCGTGGTGTAAGAGAACCCCTTCTCTTGGTGGCAACACCCGGAGATATAAGGTTTCTGCATTATATGAGGAGAGTGATGTATATAATCTCCTTTAGCTTCTTTGCTTTGGGAACTTCCTTATTTGATTGCCGACCGGACAAATTTCGGGTGGTTTTTGGCAACCGCTTTTAATCGCTATTTTGCTTTGTTCTCCAAGTTGAATGTTGGGTACGGGAGGATTGAGAGTTTCAAGAACTTTCGAGGGTGCTTCATGATCTCTTCAGCTGTGTTAGGTTATCTGCGTCTTCCAGGGAAACTAGAGCTGAGAAAAGCATTTCGTCCTTATGTATAAACTTTCAAATCGGGCATCATGCGTTCGTTGTTCTCCTTCTGAGCTCGTTTGAGTCATTTCTAAGATGTTGATGAATTGCGGGGTTTGAATTTTTGCACGACAAGTTTGGGGGTGCGTGCATAGGGTGAAATCGTGTCGTGTAGATGCTTGAGTTCTTGCCCAGGGAAATGTGTCCGTACTTGGCGTTTACTAGTTCTTGAATTTATTCAAGGTGCGCTAACTGGAGTGAGTTTGATTCTTCATGCGTGCACGTTTATGTGTTTATTTGCTCGCGCATGTAGAGCAGTTTGGAGCCTTTGTGCCCTCTAAGTAGCTGAATACTACCATATCACGTAGGGCAGCAATTTGGAGAGCAGAACCCTTTTGTAATGTCAATTGTATACGGTGTTTTCAAGAAGTTCTGGAGAGTCATAGGAGAGAGGTCTTGTTTTCGAGAAGTATTGCAGAGTTATAGTTCAGCATGTACAGATGTGCTTGTCGTAAGTTTATAATCTCACTAGTTATTGTGGTTTTGTTATCCTGAAAGTTGCGGGACTACAGCTTACATACTACATAGTGCTTTTCTAGTTATTTATGACGTTATCTGGGCACTCCATGCCAAAGAATCCTGCCACTTGGGCTGTAGAAGGCTACAGCTTCCATATTACATTGTGCTTGTTTTATTTGATTGTAGAGGAAAATTGGTCTGGCTTATTTTATCTTATTCTAATAATAATTTGCAGGTTTCAAGTGTCATAGATAGAAAGGATTGCAAAATGTCTACGATGAGGGATCTTAGTGCCACAAATAGAAGGAGGAGATCCACTGTGTGGGATCACTCTGAAAGGATTTCTTGTGCAAACAAGAGCATTAGAGGTTGTGCCCGTCTCGACTATAGCATCAGAGGCCGCTATCAGCATAGGAGGTTGCGTGCTTGACGTGTTTTGTTGTTCCTTGACCCCAAGTATGATGGAGGCTCTTATATGTGCTCAAAATTTTTGAGCTCTTCTATAAGAGTTGTCAACTATGACCCTGGAGCCCAAATCAATAATGGTTTCTCTTGATGATTGACGAAGTTGGAGCCTTTTAAACCAAATTTTTATTTTTATTGCATATTCACTTCTTCATATTTTGTATTAGGTGTTTAGTGATTGTTATCTTCTTCATTTCCTGCTTTTAGGTTGACCTTAGTTGAGCAAGAAAACCAATGGTGTTTCTGGGTGTGCTCTGTTTTTTTTAGTAGTCCTTGGTGCGTGTTCAGAGTTTTCTTTTTTTACGTCTCAAAATTGACTGGGGACTGGAATGTTTGAAAAATATCTTCTTGGAGACTCGTTCCTTGCTTCTGTTATAGATTGTAGGTAGTTGCATGGAGACATGGAACCTTATAGTGAGTTCCCTCATGCACGGAAATCTTTGTAGTGTTGTACTGTAATCTCACATGCACAGAGAACTTCACATTTTATGTATCAGGCATGTAGTGATTGTTGTCTTCTTCATTTCCTACTTGCAGGTCTAGTAACACTGCTTACTTGTGTATCTCAGTAGCCTTCACCAGAAATGTCTAGATTATACTACTTATTTCTCTGCGTGGTTGATTACTCTCTTCTTGTTCCTCTCTGTATATTTACTATCCAATGTTCATGTTCGCAGCCAGTACATCCAATGTTCATATGCATAGAGTGAAAATGTCTCCACGTTAATCTACATTACTTTTCAACATGGGGGTAAACCGTTTTTCCACTGCGTGATCCGCTGTGACCTGGAGCCAAGCAATGTTCTTCTCGATAATGAAATGACTGCTCACGTAAGTGATTCTGGTTTGGCAAGGCTGGTGTCGAGGTTGGGTAAAGATCATGCGAATTAATGTAGCTCTCTCGGTATTGAGGGTACCACAGGACATCAGCTCCAGGTACGATTCATCATGAATTTGCTTCTAGTGATATTATGATATTGAGCATACAGAGGGCGATAATACTTGTGTTTAATCAGAATGGCAGGCATGGGAGCCGAGCTATCTAGTCTCAGAGACGTGTACAGCTAAGGAATGCTCTTGCTCTGGAGAAGACCTACCAGCGAATCATTCCGAGATGAATTGAAGCTGCACAAGCATGCTAAGATGGCATTGCCTTACTGCATCCTAGAGTTGTGGACCGAATGACCCTGCAAGAGGTCCTGGAAGAAGTAGAAGACATTTGCAATTCCTATGTCGGCAACTCAGCAAGCAAGCAAAAATCGAATCTTTGCTCACCGTACTTAAAGTTGGAGAGGCATGCTCAGAAGAATCACCTCGAGAAAGAATGAACACGAGAGCCGTGGTACTGAATTTGCTTTCAATCTGAGATGAATGTATCTTGGAACTGAAGTGCAAGGTAGCTCCTGACATGGATAATGCCAATTTAAGTGTTCCTCATTCACAACTGCTACTCTTCACATCCCAAATTCCACCATGTGATGAAGTCCTGGGATTCTTCAGGAGAATTTTTTAACTTAAATTTGTCTCCTTTTGGAAAGAAAGTCTTTGCTGAGTGTGCTTGTCAGGTGGATCATCTTGTTACAAGCGAATCTTATGTTGATTAGTATTAGCATCATGTGTAGTATCATCTGCTTTTGGAGGATCTATAGTTAGTATAATTTTACCGAGTTCCTATCCGACATATTTTTCGTTAAATCGTTTGGATTTTTCGGAATGGCGATTTTCCAACTTGTGATTATTTATCAAATCACATGAATGTTTTTTCTTTGGACTATAGAGACGAACGGCGCAATTTCCACCAAAAATCTGTTCTAAATCGAATCAAATTGACAACAAACAAAGAACATTCGTTGTGTATAAATATAATTAGTTAGGAAGTATCGGTTTGTATCTAAACTGCACCACACGAACCAAATTAAATCAAGCCATGCTAATAATATTTCCCGAATACAGCAAATTACACATTATCACCCCGAAAAACTAGTGCTGCTTTACAATAGCCTCTTATAGTAACATTCATTATAGCTCATTTGCTCAATTTTTATTTATCCACATTCCAATTATAAGCAAGTAGATCCGACCATGACCTCAGTCTCACTCTCTCTCTCCCTCCCTCATCTTGCCACAACTTGGGCGTCGGTTGACAGTCCATCCTCGGAGATATCGAAGATGTCGTCGCTCTTGCACAGGGCGTACACTATGTCCACCATGCTCGGCCTCCTCGACGGGTCCCGGTTCAAGCACGAGACCGCGACGCTCATCACGCTCGCGACGCTCTCCACCGAGCACGACGTGTCGGCCGCCAGGCCGTCGTCCATCCACCCCCTCAGCCTCTCGTCCTTCCCGATCTCCTCGCTGCTGCGCCCCCCGAAGGCCCCGGCTGCGGAGGCCCACAGGACCCTCCCCTCCTCGTCCATTGCCTCCCTCCCCGAGACCAGCTCGAGCAGGACGACCCCGAAGGAGAACACGTCCATCCTCGTGGACACGACCCCGTCGGACAGGTACTCGGGGGCGATGTACCCCTGGGTGCCCACGATGTGCATGGTGATGGCGTTGCAGCCCGACTTCGCAAGGCCGAAGTTGGCGATCTTGGCCCGCATGTTGGAGTCGAGCAGGATGTTGCTGCTCTTGATGTCCTTGTGGACGACCCGCGGGCGGGTGTGCTCGTGGATGTACTGGAGGCCGTTGGCCACGTCGATCGCGATGCGCAGCCGGGTCTTCCAGTTCAGCCGCCCCCGGTGGCCGGCCTCGTGGAGCCACGAGTGGAGCGACCCGCTCGGGACGAACTCGTAGATGAGGTAGCAGCTGGCGTCCTCCGGGTCGATGCAGAAGCCCTCTAGCCTCACCAGATTGCCATGGTTCACCTTCAAAAACACAAAATAGAGGGTACGATTATAGTGAGAATCATCGTTTCAATTAGATCTCTTAAAAAGAATGGTCAATAGGAAATCTTATCATAATCAATGAAAAACCTACACACAAATTTAAAATTATGATTTCCTCTCTAAATAATTTTCAATCCTGGCGCTCAAACTAAGGAACTATGCTTGGGTCGAGGAGATGGGGTCCCAATCTCGGCTAGGCCCGGGTCCGGAGACCTAGGACCGGCCACTGGGGTCACGGATCGACCGTCGGGGTCTCAGGCACGGGAATTGGGGCCGAGCGTGAGCGGCACTCATTCCCATGTCCCCAGCGGTTGCGCTCGAGACACCGCCGGCGAATGTGCCCCGGTCCCTAGTGGCCAAGCTCGGGCCTAGGACCCCGATGCTCAGGCCCAAGTCACCGGCGTTCGAGCTCGAGATAAAATCACTTTCATATTTTATCTAAAGTAACTACAAGATAAGCTTTTCTTTTTAAATACTTTCAGTAAAGATTATTTTAGCACCATTCGACTCATTAATAAAAGCGCCTACCAAAATTTGTCTTCTAGTTCAATTATTCCTCAGACAGCCTACCTTAACTATTTGGGAATATTATACAGCTCTATAGTCTTAAGACAATAAAACAAAAGTATAATATAATCATCATAATCATACATGCATCGCGACAATAAGAGCCATCGGATTTTTATTAAGTGGGAAAATTGAGTAGATTCGTGCCGAAGCAATCAGCCAACCACCACATGCATAAGGAAGATTTTATTAGATAAATTTCTTGGCTAAAGCACAAAATATGTATAAACAAAAAAGGGTAGGCAAAATATGTAAACAATTATAAGTCATCGAGTCATGTTCAATTCAGACAGCACAAAATGAAAATTTGGACAAATACTTGAAAAAGCTCGAGAAAGGACAATAAGGAAAATTGGAAAAACCCCCGATCTTGTAAATTATATCATTATCTTTCGGTCCTTTACTCACCATCGAAATTCATATTAATCCTTGCGCTTCGACGTTCTTTTTTTCTTTTTCGCAATTTAGTCATGAAATATGAATTTCGACATTTCATAGTACAGTGATGAAAATGACTTTTCAATTAAAGTACATAGACGAAAGAGCATATTTAATTAAGGAAAACCTCAACTCACCTAAACCAACGTAAAGAATTGAGAAATCGCATTAATTTATTTCAAAAATAAAAAAAAAGAGCAATAAGTCCGCTGATAATCAATTTTGTAGTATGGTCGTTTTAATAATGGAGTCGCTGTCTGTACTGTCACTATATGCACGAGCTGTATAAAATTTTTTTCCCTTTTTAAAAAAAATTATTCCAATACATATCCTTTTGGACAAAATCAAATTAATGAATAATAAATGAAATCAAAGGCAAAGCCGCATGTGAGTGCATGTGCAGTCCTTCCCACTTGGTCTTTCCAGTGATATCACCATCCAAGAACAACACTGGTCACTTCTTTATTGCACATAATGATAAAAAAATTATAATTAAGAAAAGATTAAACTTTAATCAGATTCCAAAGGCATAATTAATTACACCACCCGCCAACATAATTTGACCCGACCCTCGCAATTAGACGAGCATTGCATTTTTCCAAACGAAAAACATAAGCACTCGGGAAAATATTACTTATATATATTTAAAAAAAAGGAGAAAATGAGTCCATAAAATAGTCAAATATCCTCCAAGATTTTCAAGATTTCATCATTTTGATTAACTAATTTGGTGCGTTAAGGAGAGTCGTTAACAGTGTCGTGTCGATAAAGTCACGCCCACCACCCACTTGAAGACTTTGCCTCCGGATTACGCCGTTTGAAAGGTCAATGGCTGTCGTTTTTAAATGCCTCTGCAATTCTTGGATTTCTTTCCTCTTTTATTTATTTTTTAGAATGCAACACAAAAATAGCTTCCATGAGAAAATTTAGATTTTTTACATAGCTTTTTAAGATTATTTGAACAGAATAAAAATACCCACTTAAATCCTTGAAGATTTTGGAAAAACAATAAAAAAGAATTTATCAACTCTGTTTTTGTTGTCTAACTTACAAAAAAAAGGAAAGATTCAGGATGTTCAGAAAGTACTTAAATTGAACTATTGTGTTGCATTGTACAGTAAAATCAGAACCCGGACAAACAATATTACTTCCTAGTGATCTGATCACTAATCTCGGCAAAAAAAGAAGAAGATAAAATCGGGTCTACCATGTTTCATTAAATGAGTCAATATAAGCCGCAACCATTAATTAGACCGATATTCGCCATTTTCTTAGTAGATTACCCGAAAATTAATCTCGTTATGTACGCATTAAACCCCCCCAAAACCACCCGTTTTATTAACCATGTCATGTAATTTAGCGCAATTTTAACGTAAACATAACTCATTCCAAAGTGCACAAACAAAGATAACATGTGAGAAATTGGCAATACTGTGAGCAAACCCAGAGGATCAAATCAATTTGTGAAGAGATTAAACTGAGGCATCAGCGACGGAAGAAACCCGCTTACCTTCTGCAGAATCTTGAGCTCCTCGTAGGCATTCCACTTCATCTTCTTGATCGCGAACACCTCCCCGTCCACGCACCCCTTGTACACCGACCCCTGGATCAGGCACTTGGAGCTGAACCCCTCCGTCGCCTCCTTCAGCTCGTCGATCCCGAACACCCTGTACTTGTCCAGGCAGTCCGTCACGTCGGCCATCAGGTTCACCTCCATCTCGCTCGACCTCTTCTCGCCGTACGCCTTCCGCTTCTCCCCGTCTCCCTCCAGGCCGCCCGCCCCCCGCTTCTTGCTCGTGCTCTCTCGGTGGACCCAGAGCAAGATCCCCAAGATCAAGAGAGCCCCAAGAACTCCGACCCCGATCGCCAGCCCCACGATGACCCCTGTTCGTTCCTTCTTCGCGGATGGCGCGGGGGCGGGGGCGGTGGCGGTGACGATGGGTTGGGTCAGATTCGGGAGCTTAGAGACGGGCACGAAGAGGGTCTCGGTGGTTTTGGTATCCTGGCCATTGATGCCCGCTATGCTCTGTTCTTGGACCCCGAATCTGGAAGCGACGCTCGAGAGGTTGTCGCCGGGCTGAAGCACGTAGGAGACCAGGTACTTGACCCCAGCCCCCGACTGGGTCTCGTTGGGGCACTTGCAGAAGATCGGGAACACCACGTCGACCCCGATGGTCAGGTTCGTGGGGACCAAGGCGGGGTTCACGACCTCGACCGACTGGTACGAGGTGAGGTTTTCGAAAGGCTCGGTGGAGACGCGGTAGAAGGTGTCGCCGGCGCGGATGGTGTAGGTGATGTTGGCGTAGGAGATGTTGGTGCCGTTGCTGGTGGGGTTGCAGGAGCAAGTCAGGGGGACGAGCAGAGGCTGGTCGGCGACGAGGGGCGCGGACACGGCGGAGGACGAGATGTTGCTGGGGTCGGCGATCATGAGGCGGCTGACGCCGAAGAGGTCGCCGATGGAGGCGAGGTCGGTGTAGTTCGTGGCGAGGCTGCCCCGGTAGAAGGCGTAGGCCTGGCACGGGTAGCCGGTCCGGTTCGCCAGGCAGCCGTAGCCGGTGGTGTTGGGCTGGGCGTGCGAGCGGCGAAGGAAGAGGACGAGGAAGAAGAAGAAGGAGAGGAGGAGGTGGAGGAGGAGGACGGAGGACTGGTGGAGTTTGGTCCTCATTTTCCTTCTTCGTTTTGGATGCTTTTCGGTCACGTTTGTGAGGAGGGGTTTTATATACGCACGAGAATTCTTCTTTGATTTTTTTAAGGTTTTCTTTGATCCATCATAAGTCAAGCGACCTAATTTCAAATTACTAGATCATGCGCTCGATCATATCTCAAATGATATCAAGATTATGTGCGCATCATATGTTCACTCGGTTATGCAAAGCTCGACATTTTTCGGAGTTTTAATTTCTTGGGTTCAGACCCGCGGAGGTAAGGCGTTTTCGTTGAGGTCGAGGTGAAATTAAAAAATCCGATTCATATAAGTTGGTGCATTCGGGTAAGAATCGATGTGATTGGGAGTAAGGTTTGTCTAGAAGGAGAGTGGGAAAGCGGTGGGGTTGAGATTTGTCAAGATGCTTTTAGTCAAGAATCGGCAAAATTGGAGACGATGGGGGGCAGCAACGTTGGGTCAATGGATAAGGTTTTCTTTAGGAACGGTGGGATGTATGTGGTCACGGAATTCCTCTGTCCTGTCCACATCGGTGACTGACTTTGACTTTGACTTTTCCGTGGGCAGGTGAGTCACGTGGCTCCATCCAATGGCATTCTCTCTTTGACTATATGGGTGGGGCCAAAATGGAGTCAACGTCACTAGCGCCGGACAGGCTCGGTTCGTTCGACGATTGCTAGGGACTGTTTCGCCTGTGTTCGAGGGAAGAAGGGTCTTTGGATTATTGGAGTATCTTGTCCAGTCGAGATCGAGTTAGTCAATACCCAACTTGATGGGTTTACGGGACTAATTGAGTTTCTATTATTATTTTCAAAAAATTTTGATATGTGTATCATATTATGCTTTGATATGTATATAATGTATATGGGTTAAGTGCTGAGAAAACATTCGAACTTGTTAGACTAGAGCTCAATCGAGGTGCCCGTTGGGTAGGCATGGATGGAGCCTAGATGTCGTGCTTTAACACTTTGGCCAAGCGAGCTCGTAACATAAAATTTATATAGAAATGTTAAAATTTGAGCGAGACGGGTTTTCTCTTGTGAAACCGTTGCCCAGATCTGTTTATTCATCTTTTGCGTCTCTCAAATCTGAACGGGACGATGTAGGGACCCGAAATGAGAACCACTCAGACCAAACTAAGGCGGCCGGTTTTGAGTGGTTCCCAAGAGCGCCGGGCCAGTTCCCGATTCCAGAGTGGGAACTAAATCGACTAGATCGGATGGTTTTTTTTTCCTTAAAAGATAGCGTAAACCTAACAACCGGCTTCTCGCAGTTGCCATCTCACCTTTTCCCTCTCGCCTCCTCACAGTCACCCTCTCCTTGTCTTACGCCTCACTCTTTTCCAGTTTCCAAGCTCCAATTTCGGATTCATTCGTCTCGCCCCCTTGATTTCACATAAGTGGTAGCGATTTTCCGAAGATTTTCTTTGGGTTCTTTGGTCTTACTGGCTTCTGGGTCAATTGGAATAATCGAGTTAGGGTTTCGATTGGGGTCCCCGCGACGCTCGTTTTTCGGCTCGGCAATTGGTTTCCATCCTGTTTTTGTTGTGGCAGAACGCAGTTTAGGGTTTTTTTTTTTTCGGTGTGTGTGGTTTTTGTGGCGTAATTCGGCGTGCCCGCATGTATCTCTTTAAACTTGCTTTTATACTTGTTGTTTGATCGTTGCTGTGCCCCGTCGGTTGCTGGCTTATGTATTGGATAAATGACAGTCAAGTGTAGGAATGGCCAAGGATTTTTGTCACATTGATATTGATAGATTGTGAATCCACCGGTCCAGTTGGACCGCCCGGAAACCGATCACCCCTAGGGCCAGGAGGTCGCCTGCCTGTTGATCACCTCTAGCTAGAGCTCGAGTTGATATATGAAATCGAGCTTGAATATCTAACCAAGTTCGAAACAAAAAAATTAGTATCAAATAAATGAAACTAACCATATTCTTTGAAAATAACACGTTTAGATTGGGAAAAAACGCCTTCCCATTTTTGGGAAAAAAGAAATCACTTTATTAAACCACTAAAAAAATGAAAACTAATCATTTTCTTTTAAAATGATTTCTATGAAAGGTATTTTTTTTTATCATGAAATTTTTAGTGAAACAAACGCACCTTTAATGTCATTAATTGCGTTCCATAACTTTCAACTACACACAACACAACTTAAATGAATTTTTTTCTAAGCCAAGAACCACTTGATGACGGTAAGTAAGGTGGGACTTCCTTAATTGGTTCAGTTACAAAATATCCAATGGAAATTAAAATCTTATCAATTATTTTATCAAAACCTTCAAATAAAGTAAGGAAGGGTTTACTTAATTGGTTAAGTTATAAATATCCAATGAAAATTAAAACCTTATTATTTATATTATCGAAATCTTCCAATAATATTCACTCTTCTATATTTGGTAGGGAAGCTAATAAAATTTATCGATCTAATTTTTATCTATTATCAAACCAACAAAAAAAACCCATTTTTTATTTTATTTTCAGTTTTAATATTTTACTTAGTCTACCTTTATCATCAACAGAATTAATTCTGTACAAATTTTCTTTCACGGCACGTCCCAAATATAAGTCGGTAAGAATTAACGTCAACTCTCGAATTCAACAGACGTTCCTACTGTCAAGTAACCTTCGTGTTCGCGTCTCATGCACGGTATGGGCGAGATTGAGAAAGGCGCTGCACGTATCGAAGCAAAGCTCCTCGTGCACGGTACGGCGAGATAGCTGGTAACCAATGTGAAACATACTTTGGAAAACAACTTGTCAAATGAGAAACGAAATAAAATGATCAAGAAAAATGAGAGTGCAACCTCAAGCGACAAGACATGACCCTCGCTGTAAATACCACCGAGAGGGGCAAGGCCGTGCGGCCTCAGGCAATGCGACACTGACGTCGCGTGACCCTAGGCACGGCGCCACCGCTGCATGACGTGTTGACAGCCTAGCAATAAGCCAGATCTCAAGAGGTGAGACCACTTGCCCAGATCTCAAAGGCGTGACTCTCGCAATTGTCAGTCAAATCATGGAATCCGACTCGCGTTGCCTATGGCGAACTCTTGTCAGTGCGGCTTGACCCTCGGCGAAGCTTGTCGGCCTCCTTCGTGAAGCTTCCTAGCCATGATTCACCACGGCTCTCTCTCTCTCTCTCTCTCTCTCTCTCTCTCTCTCTCTCAGATCTGGTGCAAGACGAGTTAAAAAATGAGGGGTAAAACAAGAATTTTAATATATTAATGATGGCAAGATTTGAAGAAAATTTTTTATTAAACCCCTTAAGTTGCATTTCGAAAATGCTAAAACTCAAAGTAAAGAGGCTTGCCTTGAGTTCAGAGCATTTCCGAAAAAAAAAAACATTGCAAACAATTTTGATATAAGAGCCTTTAGAGGCCTAGAGCTTCTTAAAAATGCTTTCTCAAATACATCATAAGACTCCTTTTGTTTAGTAAAAAATAAACGATTTGAAAAATATTTTCTTAAAATCGATCGCTTGAAATAATTAATCGATGAAAAATATTTTTATCATCGACAATAATTTATGTCTAAACATTTTCGTGAATGATAAAAATATTTTTCGTTCGTTTATTTTTGCAAGCGATATAAATGATCACTTTTAAAAATATATTTTTCAAATTATTTATTTTTCGCGAAACAAACAGAACCTAAAAATAAATTAGTAACTGCATATTCAAGTTTACTCGTGAAGGCATCATAAGGTAAATTAGTTAGTGCGCTAGTTTAAGTGAATGATCTCATCACTGCCATTGGAAATGATGCAGGGGTAATTCACCTAACAAAATGAGGAGTCAAAATGAGTTATAAACTCACTTTTTAATTCATACTTAATGACCCACTAGGCGTGGTAAGAAATTGGGTCCGGTGGGGGAAGAGGGCATTTAGTTTTAAGTGTGAGATTCGACTCCCTTACTTTGTAAAGAGACAGAGTAAATATATGGGAGATCCTCAAATAAAAACATCAATTATAAACGAATGACAACCCACACGAACCTAATATTATTTTGCCGGCTAATATTTTGCCAAAAAAAAATCAAAATAACAATATTTCTTTCCATTTTTTTGCTCCAAGAAAAGGAAACAAGGTCTGTTGATGTTAGCGATTGCTTGACAGCACCCGAAAAACTAAATGCTTGACAATCTTCTCCTGCTCACTCATCCTCGTCATAAAACTCAAAAGAAGAAGAAAAACGTGGGATGGGTTGGGTAAATATTGGGTCTAGCTTGGATTTGGCATGGGTCACTACATAAAAATGTGTCAATGTAGAATATAAATTGATCAATTTGGATCGGACCCATTTGCGACTCGTTCAAATCCGATGTACCCATTTGGCAAGTTTATCTATCGGCTTAACTCCAAATGAAGAAGCCTGGTAAGCTCATACATACCATCCTGAACTTGAAGAGGGTAGAAGAGAAGATGGTCATGTTGGGAGTAAGTAACAGAAATCCAATACCTTCCAACGAGAAAATCGCCAAGAAAGAGCTTAAGTCCGAGCCTGTTAACATATTTATTTAGACCCACATTCACTCAAAAGCTTGAGCCAATAAGTTATGGGCTAACTAGAATAGATTAATTATCCACACCACACCATTATCCGATGTGAGACTTTTTTAACATAACTCACGCGTACATCTCAACAAGTCTCTGTCTATGGTAAGAGACATAGTCCAAGATTGGAAAGAAAGGAAATACAAAATAAAAAAGGGTCATGCTTTTTTCACTTTCTCTTTAGCTAAAACACTCCTCAACATAAATGACTATATTACCATTTGTGGGTCTCACTTTCGAGCATCCCTCTTCGGCCAATGTTTTAAGAAAGTGTTGTTACATTTTTTCTAATCGTGTCTTTTTTTCTTTTCTTAATTTTATATTTCTTTTCTTGTGGCTCCCCATGTTCACTTTCCTTATTGTGTTCTTCCTTGTCTACATTCTCTCTCATGTAACCACTTGCGGCAATAGAGAGGCAGAGAAATGGAAACTTCCACGCTTGTGTAGGCGGAGGCAACTGAACTAGTCCTCATGACTTACAACAGCATCTTCTCGAGCCTCATGAGTGAAGGCTTTGCGCCACATGTCTTACTGGCAGCAAGGGATGGTGTTCGCGGAGAGTGGCGCATACTAACGGGCATGAGGAGGATGTGCACTCTACATTTGATGAGCCTGACAAAGGTGGAGCAGTTCGCACCAATGGGAAGGAGGAGCTAAGAAGGATGATGGGGAGGCTAAGGTGACGGCCTTAAGGCACACTCTCCGCAATCTATAAAGCTTCATTGAAAAATCCTTCTATGCATAAGGAATCAATGAAATTACCAAAAACAGCGTTGCTCACAATCAAATCCTTTTGGCATTTCATTACCTCCCAAAGCCTGATAAACAATTTCCTCGCCTTCTCCCCATCTAGCTGTCGAAAATATCCTCCAACCAATTTGCTAAATTTCCTCACAAAAAGCGCGTATTAGGATGAGGGCTTTGCGCCCTATTTAGGATATACGGGCATAAGAACGTGACCTTCATGATTCTCCATTTCTCTGCTTGTTGAGAGAGAATAGAGTTTGACCAAAAAAGGAAGAGAGAAAGAAGATGAAAGAAAGTCGATATGAGACTCACAAGAAAAGAAATAGGAAATTAATTAAAAAAAAGGACAAATGATGCTAAAAAGTGGGACCCACAAAGGACAATATTGTCAGGATACTGTGTTAAGGAGTGTTTTAGCCATAAAGGGAGTGGAAAAAGCGTGACCCAATAAAAAACTGTGAAAGCACATGTCGGTCACCAATATTAATATATCGATATGTTCTTCAATCAAGATGATATGAAGATGTCAATTTGTTTTCTAAATAGAGAGAAGATGGGAGCTCGATCAAATTTAGTAATGTGGAAAGGAAATCATCTTCATTTGTCTAGGCCAAATAGCCAAAATATACACAAAATCATTGACAGCGCAATACTGGCATCTCTAAGCAGAACAAGAACAACAGTAAGAAGAGAAATCTTGTCCGAGGGTTACGTACAAGACCAATACATGTTCCTCTCTAGCATTAGTTTCAAACCCATCCCGTTCCCTTTCTCTTACAATCAAACAATGTAACAATGGCTACACTAGGGTTTACGTAGATACGAACACCAACACGTTCTTGCATCATTCTACTTAGTATCCTACAACCTGAAAGCCTGTTCGTCTCGTATCTCATCCTCAGATTTCGATCAAGAAACTTCCTCGTGCCACGAGACGACAATGTCCTCGAGCCCGACCTTCCATTCTCCCCAGTGAGCCTCCTCAAACTCACCGCCACCGTCGACCACCACCTTTGCCTCCACCAACACCACCTCCTCCACAACCACCACCACTTCCACCACCAAAACCAACTTCCCTTTCCCCAAGATGACACTCCTACCCTTCCCTTTCTCCACACTATACCCTAATCTCCCACCGACCTCCTTCAACTTCCCCATAATCACCTCCATAGAAGCATTGGACACGAACCGCCTCTCATTCCTACTGTCGATCTCGAAAAGCCTGGACATATCGAGACCCGACGACCAGGAAATAATATCGAACGCGTTTAGGCTCGGTCCGACATCGAAGTCGCTACAGTCCTTTTCGCTGGCTAACAAGTGTTCTACGTCCGAGAAGCTATTGTGGGACTTCAAAGGGAGCGATTTCTTGAACCAAGAAGTGCCCGCCAAAGCTTGCAAGCTCATTCTCGTGTTGGGATTGGGATCGAGAAGCTGGTGGATGATGTGCTTCACAGGTTTGGAGATCCAATCGGGGAACTGGTAGTCCCTCTTGTGGGTTCTCTTGTACATGGTGACGAGGTTGCTGTCGTCAAAGGGCATGTAACCGCAAAGCAACATGTACAAGATGACACCGCAAGACCACGCGTCTGCCTTGGAACCATCGTAGCCACGCCGGCAAACAACCTGAAGTGGAATGAAAACGAGGAGAGATGTAAACCATCTAACCACTGGGTTCATAATACAGCAAGGTGTGAATATCAATATAGTACTGCGTTCACAATAGAGCCAAGGTGGCTATAAGATATGCTAAATAGGAGAGATGCATAATTTTATTTGTCTGTTAGTCAATAGTATGAGACATCTTGATCTACAATATATATGGTCGGGTCCGCAACAAATATTTCTTATTTTGATGCTATCTAGGTTCAGTTATGTGGTTCAGAATAATCTCCCATGAAGCCAAGTAGAGCCTACATAGTATGCAATACTTCAACTCGATTCAAGCCAGATAGAGTTTGACATTTTTCATGCTAAAAAACAGTGGGAAAAAACAACTTGCTATAATTATAAACTCATCAATAATGACAGTAATATACTGTACTTTGAGCTAGAGTACTCGAGCTCGAAGCGCCGAGCTTGAGTTCGCTTGCCTTCTTCTTCTTCTTTTTTTCACTTTCCTCTAATCAAGAAGTTAGAATTGACACATACTTTGCAGGATGAAATAAGTTCGATGTTTATATTTTCAGTAAATACGAAAGTACAAGTTAATACAATAACGTAAATGCAGTAGTCTTCCGAATACCCTAAAATTCAAATATGTGCAGGAAAAACCCTTTCTGGATCATCTGAGACTGAATTGAAATTTGCTATATTTAAGCTTCAGCACCAAAGATGAGTTTTGAAGACGTTCAAAGTGCATAATCATACCACGAATTCATTTCACAAGTTAATAGCGACCCCTCGTGATTCTACTACTTAAGCTCAGACTTGTTATGCACTATATACACGACCCATGACATGATTTGAAGTGTCCTAAGCTTGGTATATTGTGTTTTGAAATTGAATTTCTCACTGGCGAAAAGGAAAACAATGTAGAAGAAGAACGAGAGTTCATCGAGAACAACTCAACAAGATAAATTCATCTGTTCTTATAGACTAAGGTGACTGATTTTTCTTAAAATCAAGGAAATTTGTGTATATTAACCTTACGTAATTACGTCCTTGTAATAGCCTTCAGTCTCATCAAACACTGATCAAGTATTCGAAGCACATTCACAACCTCATACTGGACATTCAACAACGTGACATCCTTAACTACCGCAAGGTTGACCCGACATCGTACTTGACAAATTCATCAGGGACCACAAACGAACCTCAGGAGCCGTGAAAGCCGGGGTCCCGCAAGCGGTGTGGAGCAAGCCGTCCCGGAGCTGCTCCGGCAGCGCCGACAGCCCAAAGTCCGAGACCTTCAGGTTCCCCTTGTGGTCCAGCAGCAGGTTCTGCGGCTTGACGTCCCGGTGAGCAACCCCGTTCTCGTGGCAGTAGTTGAGCGCCGACACGAGCTGCTGGAAGTAGCGGCGGGCCGCCGGCTCGGTGAACCGGCCGCGGCGGACGATCCTGGAGAGGAGCTCCCCGCCGGCGGCGAGCTCCATGACGAGGTAGATCCGGGACCGGGTGGCCATCACCTCATGGATCCGGAGGATGTTGGGGTGGGACTGGAGCCGCCGCATGGCGGCGACCTCACGGAGGATCTGGGACTCGAGGGTGGGGGACTTGAGGGCGGACTTGTCCTTGTGGATGACCTTGATCGCGACGTGGGTGTTGTCGGCCAGGGACAGGGCTTGGTAGACCTTGGCGAAGCTGCCCCGGCCGAGGAGCCGGCCCAGCTGGTACTTGTTTTGGAGGGTGGTGGTGGTGGAGGATCGGGAGGCGGGGGCTGGTGGCGGAAGTGGTGGTGGTCGTGGTGGTGGTTCCATGGACTGGTGGCTGTGGCGGATGTGTGATGGCGGTGGTGGCTGGGGAGGAGCGATTCGGTTAGCGCAAGGAACAAGCTTTTCATGCGGGGGAGACTTGTGGGGTTATTATAAGAGGGACCGGTTGGGCAGCTGGGTTTGCACCGTCAGTCGAATCTAGGAGTGTCTTCTTATGGGTTTCCGCAATTGCCCTCGTTCATGTTGTTTTCATCAATGAATATGTCCTTTTCCTAATTTTCTGCAGTGGCATATTTTTCTCCAACGATTACTGTGACTGGTGAATTATTAGGGGTGCTCCCCAATTACAATATAACCTCACTAAAGAGTAGGAGCTGAAGCTCCGACAAGAGCCGCCTTGCCTATCAGGTTACCTTGTTGAACTGATAGGACTGCGTTTTTATTTTAATGTATCGATACCTGCACGTTTCGTCTCTTAATTAAGGAGAAAGTTTTTTTTTGCTCTTTTCAAGAAATAAATATGTGTTTAACGTCTCAGAATTTAGACAAAATATTTAAGGACTTGCTTAAGTCCAAACTAACAATTACCGTGATTGGTGAATTTGTATACATGAGCGTTACTCTTATCTTTTAATTTTACTTAAATCCGGGTGATACTATGTGGCTATCCTTTATGAGTAAATGCTGCCGTATAGGATGGGGATCTGCTTCCTCAAAATTTATTCTATCGCTATCCCACCACTCAAAAACCGTCACATGGACAAATTATTGTATACTTGCTCGCAGTCGAAAAACTATTTTTTGTTCCTCGATTCTTGCTAGGAGCAAACTTTCTTCAACTCATTTTCTGATTGATAGATTATAAATATGTAGGTTAAAATTATACTTAAACACACCAATCAAAAGGTGGTCGGAAAAGGACGGTGGAAAACGCATCAACTTGCGGGAAAGTACACCAACCCATGCTTCTCTATGAGGTGTTTGGTGGGAGAGCGTGTTTGCTTACGAGCTCACTATCGACGGAGCTCAACGGTGCACGCTAGATCCGGCTCGGCTACGTTATTTAGAAGATGGAGCGCCTCCTCAAAATTCAGGAGAATGATGTTGAGATCTCACTGAAATCTAGACCTGTTAAACGGGTGGGTCGGATCGAGTTTGGGTCGGGTAATAAATGGTCCGACCCAAATTGACCCATTAACCCGTTTATGAGCCATTTATTCATAGTGTAAATATCCCGACTCATACCCGACCCGATCCATACCCAACCCATACCCGACCCGACCCATATTGCTAAAACACTTTTATATTTAACCTAATCTAGGAATACTTGTTTCTTATGATTTTTTTTAAATTATACTGCTAAAACATTTTATGCAATACAAAGTTAGTGAAAAATTTTTATAATTTTTTTTAAAATTGAGGTTCTGTTTGTTTTACGAAAAATGCGACATTTCTAGAAAATATTTTCCATAAAGTCATTATCCAAGAAAATAAAAAAATTTCTAACGTTTGGCTGAAACCTGAAAATAAACTAGAAAATATTTTTCGATATTTGGTATATAAAATCTGATTTGATTTTACTTTGTGCATTCATTTTAATAATATTAATATTTTTTTAATTTTTTAAATTGAATTTTTAATTATTATTTTTTTCTTTTTTCTTTTTCCTTTATTTTTGGCCAATCGCCGTGGTTGACGACCGACCAATGGCGAGGACGAGCTCGCCAGAGGCTGGCGAAGCTTGTTCTCGCCGGCCATTGGCGAGGCTCCAGCCTCGCCGATCTAGCGAGACTCGAGCTCGTCGGCCTCGGGCGAGGCTCCACCTCGCCAGATCCGGCGAGGTCGAGCTCGCCCAAGGTCGGCGAGCTCGAGTCTCGCTAGATCGGCGAGGCTGGAGCCTCGCCGGGATCAGGCGAGCCTCGAGGTCGCCGGAATCGGGCGAGCTCGAGGCTTGCCAGATCGGCGAGGCTCGAGCCTCGCCTGAGGCCGGCGAGCTCGAGCTTCGCCGGCCTCCGGCGAGGTCGTCCCACCCCGGTGGCCGGTCACCGTGGCCGACCATTGGCTGAAATAAAAAAAAAATAAAAAGAAAGAAGATAAAAGAAAAAAAATAAAATAAAAATAATTAAATTTCGATTTTTTTTAAACATTTTTGTAAAGAGAGAGAATGTGGATGGGTTGGACATGGGTTCCAAACTCAACCCATTTAGACCCATTTATCTTTAAACTTTAAAATTTAAAATCCATTTAAGGTTGACTCTTTTAAAATTAAAGTGACCCATATATGACCCATTTATTTTTAAATGGGTCATATATGGGTTTAAGACCCATTTTGACATCTCTACTGAAATCACAACTGATGAATAGTCGGATCTCGAAGCGATCTCAAATTTCGATAGCTACGTGGAGATCTTTCGAGATCTTTTGCACGGGAGGACCTAAGGCTCATGTCGTCCCTCACCCTTGTGCATACACCAAAATTTACCTTATACAATATTTAGAAGATGCGCTCTTCTAAATGTGGACGTGCCTCCTCAAAATTAGGAGAATGATGTTGAGATCTCAATGAAATCATAACATATGAATACTCTGATCTTGAAGTGATCTTGAGTCTCGATAGCAACGTGGAGATCTTTGGAGATCTTATGCACGCGAAGACCTAAGGCTCGTGGTGTCCCTCGCCCTCATGCGTACACCAAAACTTACCTTATACGATATTTAGGAGGGGTGCTCTACTAAATATGGAGGCGCCTCCTCAAAATTAGGAGAATAACGTTGAGATCTCACTGAAATCATAACGAATGAATAGTTGGATCTCAAAGTTATCTCGAGTCTTGACGGCGACTAGAAGATCTCTTGAGACCTTATGCACTAGAGGGCCTAAGGCTCGTGGTGTCCCTCGCCCTTGTCCATACACCAAAACTTACCTTATACAAAATTTAGAAGGCGGGCACTTCTAAATATGGAGGTGCCTCCTCAAAATTAAAGATTGATGTTGAGATCTCACTGAAATCACAACAGATGAATAGTCAGATGTCGAATTAATCTCGAGTTTCGACAGTGATGTGGAGATCTTTGGAGATCTTTTGCACGAGAGGACCTAAGGCTCACGATGTCGCTTGCCCTCATGCATACACCAAAACTTACTTTATATAATATTTAGAAGAGGCGCTCTTCTAAATATGAAGGTGCCTCCTCAAAATTAGGAGAATGACATTGAGATCTCACTGAAATCATAACGGATGAATAGTCAGATCTTGAAATGATCTCGAGTCTCGATAGTCACATGAAGATCTCTCGAGATCTTATGCACTAGAGGACCTAAGGCTTGTGGTCTCCCTTGCGCTCGTGCATACACCAAAACTTACCTTATAACATTAAGCTATTTTTGATAAGCAATTAAATGCAGAAAAACCTTTGTTACAAAATCTATGTCTCTTGCCCCAAACCTAAAGCTTTTTGTCCACCATTAAGTACATACATTCATTGGTTGGCTTTCTCTAAAATATATATAAGCATCCAATGTCTTCTTGCCTTACCCACCTATGGGTAGCTCAATTGGTTAGGGCGTATTTGGGATTGTGTGGTTAGGCGCACTGGTCCCAGGTTCGATTCCCCAGTTGAGTACTTGTGATTTAAGTGGGGGGCCATGGCGGTGAATTGCTGTGCTAATCTCCCTCAAAAAAATAGTCGAGATGCGTGCAAACTGATCCGGACATCTTGATTAAAAAAAAAAAGAAAATGTCATCTTGCCTTGTTACTTGAAGTGTCGTAGTAAATGGTGCAATAATTCGTTCCTTGAGCACAATTTGTCTGAAGAGAACAGTATGATTCATCCAATGTCGGCTGAAAACCACCAAGGATGTCACATCAAATCAATTATGATAGGACAGCTTAGTGAAAAGTACACCCACTAAGGAATAAAGACTAAAATGACAAAGGTAATTAGGCACAAAAAATCAAACACGGGAGAAACGGGACAATTCAAAACCATGACGCCAAAGATTAGGTTATGTCAAGTGGGAAGTAAACAAAGATATCCCAAGCTCTCTCCAGGATCCTGAGCAGCAAATCGCATGCGGGGAAGCAAAGACTTTTTTATTGCATTTTTAGCTTTTTCTGAACCGTGCCGAAAACATCAACTCAGCCATCAATTGGACACAGCTAATCTGCAATTACATTCCTGATCTCTAGGATATTTTAATGACCCGCTTTTGCGACCGCTTCGACATTTTAGTTTGCCTTATCATGATGTTCTCAATAATCTCGAAATTGGAAGAATTATCAAAAGAAATTCTAAACAAGTTGCAATTGTGTCAATTAGGTCATATATCATTTTTTTTTGTCAATTGAGTCATAAAATTTTTGAATTTTTGCCAATTCAATCCATCGAACTAATTTTGTTATATCTCTAAAATAGCTATCATCAGTTATATTCTTAATCTCTCGGATATATTTTTTTAATGACACACTTTCGTAACCACGTCAACATATAAATGTCTGTCATATCATGATGTTCACAATAAAATCGAAACTCGTTGTCGCCATGCACTTACAAGCAACCTCAACTTTTTCTTTCTGTGTTGAGCTTAAACATGTTCGACCAAAATTGGTATGGCAAGGATTCTGATTTGCCCAAACATTATTTTATCAAAAAGGATAACCCTTATCACCTTATCTTCGTTTTTGCTCGTTTGTTTTTGCATTCGAAAGATAGGCCATCTTGTCTTTGCATGACCTTTATTGGCTCATTTTGATCTTTGCATATATGTGTACTGTAATCCTGGTCCACCATACTAATCACTTTACACTAAATGAAGTTATTTTAGTTACTTGCCGTGTGAATGCTAGCTGCAATATGGCGCATAACCCATCATCGTTATCATCTCAAGTTACCCACAAAGTAGCTCGAGCCCCATATTTCATATCATCCTTGACCTTTTGCAAAGTGTATTAAGAGTCAAATCAATTCTCCAAAGCATATAAATGTTCTTCCTAGAGCGTGGCCTTATAACCCAAAGTCATCTCGAAAAGGATAAAAGAAAATTCACCTTTTTCACTGCGGCCACCGCCACCACCCCCGCCACATCTATGGCCACAAGCCACCACAAGCAATGGCAGCGGATTGCATGCCAACTGCCCAGCCACATATATTATTAGGCCACGTTTGGTAGCTAGGATAAAAGTCATAATAGGATAAAATTTATCCCACCCTGTATTTGGTTCTTGCCCAACATTAGATTAAGCCGGATATAATGGAGATGTACCTCATGGGGGATTCTTATCTCCATAGTATAAAGTTATTTTTCTCGAATAATAAACTTTTTAACTTAATAAATTTAAAATAATAATTAAATATAAAATAATATTTGGATTCTAATATAAAAAATAAATTTCAAAATAACCAAAAAAATGATGGACAATTTTCGTTTTTATTTATTTCTTTTTATTCTATAATATATATTTTGTGTATATAACATCTATCTTTATTACATATTTTAGGTATATTAGTATAGTTTATTATTTAATAAATTTTTTATTAAGGAATGACGGAACGGAATAAAAAAGAGAAGGAAAAGTAATTAAAAAATAAGTAAATAAAAATGAAGTAGAAGAACCTCGATTTTAAATGAACAAATTCAAACTAGAAACAGATCTTTCTAATTCTTTCCATCTCCTTCTCCTTCGTAATTCTAATTCATGTTGAAGTTTCACAACTTCTCCATAGTTTTTCGTTCACGTCAAAGCTCCACAAAAACAACGAGAGAGTCGAAACTCATTTTCGTAGATCTCTAGTTCACGTCAAAAGTTCATGAAAGCAACAAAAAAGCGGAAACTTCTTCTTTTTCATAACTCTGTGGTTCATGTTGAAGTATCACGTAAGTGTCGAGAGAGTCAAATCGCTATATTTTTCGAAATTGCAAAGTTGAATAATCATGTTTTCTTCCTATTATTAGATTTGGCGTAGCGCTAGCTAATTTATCTCGTCAATGTTGCTGTAGCCCGTTAACCTTTCTTGTCATAGACAAACCCATGGCTTTAGAATGCGCAATGTGCTCCTTTTCTGTTTAAGTTGAATTGATCGATCCTGGCCGTCGGATCGGTCGTACGCGAGTCAAAAAAGGAGCATGACCTCAGGTGGGCCCTACTTTTGGACATCGGGAGGTTGCAGCATCGCGGTCGGATTCAGACCGGCGGTCCGTCTCGTGACACGTGTACGGACGCGTGGGGCCCACATTGTGACGTCGGCCCCCACGGCGAAGCGAGGAAATGATCGCGCATTATGCTTTTTTTTTTTTAGAGGTTATTTTTTTAAAAAAAATTAGGAGGTTCGGAGGAATATAGTTGGAGAAACTATGCTTAATTTAATAACTCTTTTAATTTAAGTACGAATAAATTACGTATTAGGCCACTTGTAAATTGTGTAGGATGTGAGGTCGAATACACAATGATCCTGAAAACTTACATAAAAACATGGCTTGTATCTCTAAATGTTTTCTTTTTCTAAATGATTTACTTAAAATATCATTATTAAAAATTCTTAACCAGTCGGTCAAATAGGAGAGATCGATTGGAGAAATTTTAAAAAAATGAATTATAAAGTGAACCGGGTCCATGTGTAATGGATGTACCACGGTCCTTAACTTTAGCTAGTCGCACAAGGGATCGTGTATGGTTTAACAATCTTGATGCGTCCAAAATCGTATGAACCTTATGAACTCGTTAATAAATTAAAGTAATTTTTTAAAGCCACAAAATGGTTCTAGACATTGGGGGCATCTGTTTCTTTTTCGTCCTTTTCCCCCTGTATGTATGCCCCATGTGTTCTTGCTATGTGTTTCCCTTTGCGCTCCCTTCTCCACTTTTATATTTTTTTATTTGCTAAAGATTCTGGATCTTTAAAGCATATACTTTAAAAAACCGAATATTATATAACAAAAGGGGTTCAGCTGCCACTTTATTAAATAAAAAATGGCGACATAAGTAGAGCGTGGAGGAAGCAACATATTCTTCATATGTTTGCTATCATATCATATTCTTCAATTATTCCCTTTCATGTTTGCTATGCATAAGTTGGTACACATTGGTATGGCAACAGGAATGCAATTTCATTATTTCGTCCCTGTCCGGACTCACGAAATGACCTGCTAATCTCATGACATGCGAACATCTTTAGCGACTTCTATTCTATACAGAATTCTAGTTTCGTTGATGTATGTTTGCCTTGAATGAATGATGTGCGAACATTTCAATTGAAAAGGAAAGATTCTACTTCTGAACAATCTCCTACAAGAAAGCAGACGATGGTATTCATGGATACCATGTGCACGAAATAAAATCCGTAGTAGATGTATAGGTACATCCTAGCTTTTTATATCTATTTGGCAATAGGAGGTATGAATTATTTGATGACGAGGAGGAAGGTCAACTAGGCATATAAATCTCGAGCTCACGGAATGGCCCGCTAGTCTCATAGGCGACGCAGACATTCCAATTGAAAAGAAAAAAGATTCTCCTACCCAAAGCATATAATTGTATTCATGCGAAGGGTACATAGGTCGTGCACGAAATTATTCATGTAATGATCAACTTGTCTAATGTCCAATACTAAGGTCCAGAAATAAAAAAAATATTGATCACCATACCCCACGGTGCTAATGATATATGGCCCCATGTAATAATTAGGCATAATTAGCTTTTAGCTCCTTCTTGAAGAAGTGTAAGTGTCAGGCGGAGATTAGACAAATTGAAGAACCCTAATATGGCTCCAAATCCCATGATTGCTATATGGTCGATTGGAACTTGGGGTTCATTTCTGATCGTTGATTAAAGATTATTATATATAGAACATTTTTTCGTTTGGCATTTCGTGGAGGGTGGTGGGGGAAGAGTAGGGGTGAGCGGTTTCTGGTCCGGTCCGGTCCAACCCAAGAACCGGGAACCCGACCGGAAGGACCGGTTCCCAATTTCTAGGAACGGAGACCGGATCGACTAGTCTTGGGACCGTAACCGGACTGGTTCCAATGAGATCAATATTAAATATTATTTGTGAACCGATAACCGATTGTTCTGTTCTTTTCTTTGTAGTTCTGATTTGATCCCATAAGGCCATGAAAAAAATTGGAAAAATATATATAATTTATAAAAAAATTGAACAATCGGTTCCAATGAGACAAATATTAAATATTTTTCATATATATATTAAATATTATATATATGAAAAAATTAGAAAAATATATATATTTATCGATCCGGTCCGGTCCGGTCAGGTTTCCACCTAGAACCAGGAACCGGACCGCCCGGAAACCGGTTCCACTTTTAGGAACCGGAAATCGAAACGATATTCCCGAGAACCGGATCAAATTGATCGATCCGGTTCGGTCCGGTTCGGTCCCGATTTGGACGGTCTATCTTGCTCACCCGTAGGGAAAAGGGGACTTGTCCTTCCTCTCCACAAAGGTTCCTATTCCTATTGGTATTGAGAAAAGTCAACGACAATCCATGACAACAAAGAGTTCATGCATGTTGCTAACATAATCAATTTATTATGCACAAGTTGAGGTCACATGTAATACAAAAAAAAAAAAGAAAAAGAAAATAATAAGATCGTGTATATTTTAGGAAAAATTTTATGATAAAGAAAAATGCCTTTTCAGGTTGGGGAATTCATTTTCTAAACTTAAGCATGCATATTTTCTTTGACCACAAATGATTTTCTATCGACTAATCAATTTTAGCAAACCGAACGCATAAAAGTCCAAAAAGCTAATCCACGCAAGATTAGAAAAGTTTTCCTTCGGTAGAGAATTCTGAACTTGGTCAATTGAACTCCAGAAGTAAAAACACTACCAAATTCTTCTCGCCAGGCCCCTTCTATGGTCACGTGACCCTCAGGTAGAGGCTGGAAAGTTTATTTGATCATCAAAAGTGAATTAGACCTTACTTTTTAGATAATCTTTGATCTTAGTAAAATAGCCCGCGGTCAAGTAATATAATCTTTCAATTTATCTTAGGGTTTAAATCAACTTGTTATGTATAGGAGACATGGTAGGCTACATATCCAATAGACTTCTTCACTCTTTTAAAACAGATGCCCTTATCTAGTGGAATTACACTATAGTGAAATTAGTTTACAATAAATAAATAGAAAGCTTCTCTTGCATTTTTTTTAACTTGCAATTCTTAATTTTCTTAATTTATTTTACTTAGGTGCTTCTTCAATCCAGTTCTCTGACGAATGTTTTCTGGAAATCGAGATGGTCCACACAGACAAACAATGAGCAATCCATCACAACCACAAGCACATATCGTACCCATCCTCAACCCCTTTTCTTTATTCGTGTCTATTTACTTGATGCATTGGAAAGGGAAACGAGAGAGTGACTTCACTGAGCAATTAGAACTCGTACAAGCTTAATTTGTGCATGCGTCTCGCATAATACAGACAAGTAAGGCGAGTAGCTCGGACCCGCGTCGGAGGGAAGCTGTTTCATTGGCCGTTTCTCTTGCGAGCAATCTCTCTCGCCATCTCCCTCAGCTCTTCTGGTGAAGGCGGCCTGGGTCCCTCCGGTGGATACACCACGTAAGATTTCTTGACAGACAGAAAAAGAAACTTCAGGATCATATTCATAGCCAGATAGAAGTGCCGACATTTAATATCCAGCACGAATTTTGGAAATAAGAGTCAATCTTGAGCGAACAAGTTTCAGAAGATGGACTATCGAAGATCTTAAGAAGCACTATCGTGCGCATAAACAGCAGAGTTCCTTCATCTCAGTGCATGATTTGAAGTTTTCACATTCATAAGATAATAAACAAAAGCTTCAACCATGCAGTATGGCTTCACCAGATCAGGAGCAATCAGCAGGTCCTCATGCTCATTGTGAACTTCCAAATCAAAGTGGGCTAAGATGTAATCTCTGACATTAGTTCAATTTTTACTACTAAAAGAACCATAACACATCCTTGGCCCACAAATTCACTTAGTGCGAAAAGGTCAATGGAAGTTTGTAATGTATCCGAGATGATTCATTAATCATTACTGCTCTTGCCATTCATGAACTTTAGCCATATTTGCCACACCAGGAAGTGTGATGGTTCATGGAAGCAGTCTGCCCATCAGGTAAAAAGAATCCTTTAAGCGACGAAAAGGCTAAATTAATATGGACAATCAAATAAAAAGCAGTCTGCCCATCTCCAATAATTCTTTGCACAGTTATTACTCGGGAAAAACTTGAGCAGGAAAAAATCATTGGTTTCAAACCAAAAACGTTGAAAAATCTAGAAACATGTACAGTAATAAGCATTCACACAACTGTAAGTCCACTCTGAAGAACCCGGCGAATACCGAAGTTCATGGAAGAGGCAAGATGTGGCAAAATAATTGGGCTCATTCTTTGAAGGCACCAAATTGATCCCATACACAGATGATTAAGGGGTTATGCAACCTTCCTAGTTACTACAGTGTGCAAAGCAATGTCCATGGATGAGCCCGTTTGGCAAACAATCATCGAAATATCTGAGCTCTGTCACTGCATTAGATGGTCATGGTCCCAGCTTTGTTTATCATCATCCCGAACTACTTATTGATGTCTCAAGGATGTATGTGGTATAGTATATCCTCCAAAATTTAACTTGGAACTGATGCGTCCTAGTAGGAAAAGCAAATAACTGGAGTAATTGAAAAGTTTATCACCCTAAGAGATTGGATTTTAGTCTAGGTTGAACACTGTCATCATGACCCACCAGATTCTCAAAGACAAGCCTCGGGGAACCATCAATGATGATCTAAGTGAAGAGCTATGTTGAAAATGAGAACAGCTCAAAGTGTATTGTTGTTTCTTGCAATTTGACACTGAAGACAGACAACCTTGGCAACCAAACAACAAGATGACCAAAATCATTCTTTGAAATTCGAATAACAGACCCTTCATCAAGAAGATTGAAATTGAAGAGTTCACAGGGACCTGGCTCCCGCATTAAAACAGTTATACTCATCGTGGTTCCATTCCCTCGCCATAGATCCCAACAGCATATACAAGACAGGCAAATCGCCTCGATTTGCATAAACAACATTTTTCAATCGTTGCAACCTTATAGGACACAAACAAATTCAGCACATTTACAACGCAACCGAACCATGTCCGACATGAAAACAACTCAGGCGCTTCTCGCCCAAACACCATTTCCTATCCAGACAAGCTCAAACTCCAGATATCTGCATCACAAACAGCTCAAGGCACCGACAGTTTCAACCCCCCTAAAACCCCAAAGTCGCCTGGCAAGTTTAGCCAACTAAAAGAACGCAACACGCACCATTCAAATCTGGCAATTCGCTCGCACTGATAAGGGAATTGGCTTTATAGGACGCGAACGCGAGTCACGAGAGATAGAGAGGGGAGGGGGAGAAACTCACATTGCCCATGAATTTCTGGAGATTCTTGGAGTTGTTGGCGAAGGCGTACATGAGAACGATGGGGATCGTCACGTAGACGCCGAACTTGGCAATCTCCAAGATACCCTTCGCAGTCCCGATGGATGACATCTTCTCGCCGGAAAGACCGTGAACTAGAAGATCCTCCGCAAACGAAGATCACTGCAATACCCAGAGATAGAGAGGGAGAGAGGGAGAGGGAGAGGGAGAGAGGGGTATACCTGAGAAATTTGAGAACGGTAGAGCAAAATGGGCCAAGCCGGGCCTGGTAAGAGATGAATTGGGCTCATCCCGCTCGAAAGAGAAATGAAAGAGGAACTGCAACAAGCATACCAAACCCAGTTGATGCTGGCTTTGAACTGGCGATCAAAATTAACAGGGACGATTGTAGTGCTGAAGGACAGATTGAATGATGAGGACGAATTCCTCCCAGAACAGTAGATTGTCTGCATCCAGGGTGGGGTTAAAACAACGACTCCAATGATAACCCGAAAGATCAAACGTGGATACGAGTTGAATGTCTTTGAGGAATTTTCACAAACATCTGGAGGGCCTGACTGTAACAATCGGCAATCATAGAACCCAAGGACAGGCTGTACGATGAGGATGAATTATGTAATATTTGGATTTTTTTGACCCTCAAAAAAGAAAAGAAAGAAAAGGTTGAAAAGTCAAAAGAAGCATAAAGTTGATGTCTTCAATTTATAAAAGGGACTGAGAGCATGCAAATGAACAGGGAAAAGAAAGGGGCTCATCGAGAAAGAAAAGAAAGAGAGAGAGACGGGAAGAAAGAAAGAAAGAAAGAAAGAAAGAAAGAAGAAGAAGAAAGAGAGACGCGTACTCGCTACGGGAGTTCCGCCAAACTAATTCGACTTCGTATTGCAATGTCCAGTAAGCACTTGCGCTCCCCGTTCGTCCGATCAAAAAAGTTTTCAGATTTAGGGTTTAAAGTCGAAATTTTGAGAAATTCAAGCCACAAAGTCTGATTTTTGAATCATTGAGCTATGTATATATATAGAATTGGTAATTTATGATGTCGTGGAGCCGTGGAATTTTACGGAACTCAATTTGGACTTACCGTTTGCCTGAAATGAATTTTTGAAGTTGAGCGTGTGTGGTGAATAGTGCGTGATAGCAGCTTTTCATGCCGATTTTCTTCGTTTTTTGCTCGAGTTTGGGTTGGCCAAGTTGGGGTTCTTGTAGTTCTTTGAATCAGCTTTGTTTTGACTGTAAACTCGCTTGGAATGGGGTTCGGTGGAGAGAGTCATGGTGCGATCAACTTTCGCGCTCAAGCTCCGCTTTGCAGATGGTTTGGATAATCGCTTTGGACAAGTAATTTGTGGGCCCCTTTAAGTTGTCTTGTTAGCATTTAAGTGTCGTTTAGCCGTTTCGTAGTTATCGTAGCATGTTATTTGGTTTTGACGTCGATCCTCGTTTAATTGTTAGGATTACGAGATTGTCGGTTCGAGTGAGCGTCATTGTTTTATTTTTGGGATTCCAGGTGAATGGTGCTATCTCTTCTATGAATTTATAAACTCATGTCTTGAAAGTGATAAAGATTTGAGTATTGTATGAGTTAATAAGCATGTTTAGTGCATAAAAAAAATATGGATCGAGCAATTACTACCATTTTGCATTTGAGAATGATTTGAGAAATGAATTATGAAAGGTGTTGAGAAAGTTAGATATATGAACTGTTTTACGAACTGGTTTATGAAGAGTTCTGAAAGAGTTTGAGAAATGCCATGTGAAATGTATTTTGAAGATTAAATGTTTTAGTTTATAAAACCAAAATGTGATATTTATTCTGGATTGGCTTTGTGAATTGTGAAGAATATCGTTGTGAGTTTGTGTTGGTGCTCAATATCGCTGTGAGCCCATTGTGGGGCTTGTAGGTATGCGCATACTAGTCTAGCATATCCTTATGAGCCGAGCTACCGACTTATAGTAGGTGGAGAACTTGCAAAGTGAGAAATTTTGGTCGCCTTATCACGGGGCGAGATGCGTGATCATGGTTTGATATTGAGCAATAAATTGATCAATGGATAGACTATTGACGTGTTTTCCACTGTGCCAGGACAAATCATTGAGAGCGATGGCAGTGCGATTGCGGCTAAAAAATGATAACATCGGGTCAGGTTGAGGGATAGCAGTGCGACTGCGCCTCTACCCCGAACGAGGCCTTTTATGATGAGATTAATCAATGGAATATACCATTGATATGTGAGTTATTGAGATTGATCAATGGACTTGACCATTGATGTTTGAATTGAGACGATGATTTAAAATGAGTATTTTCTAAATTGTAAAGGAAACAACTCTTATGTGACCGATATGTATTTTATATTTTTGGATTGAAGTATGAGTTTCTGATATGGCTTTATGTATACTTGCATAGTGGTTGTTCGATCTGCTTAGAAAATATATGCATTACTTACTGAACTATGGTTGCTTATCCCTCTCTTTCCTCTATCTTTTCAGGTTCCTTGGTTAGTAGCTTGTAGAGCGAGAGCGTTGTTGCGGGAACTTTTGGGAGTTGGATTATTTGTTGTGGTTTGAGGTTGCATCTTTCGGGAGGAAGGATGGCCGTGTCATCCCCCATTCTAGTAGGTTTCGGGGTGTGACAAATTACTCCCAGAATAGTAGAATGTTTGCATTGGGGGTTAAACCAACGACCCAAATGATAATTCAAAAGATCAAATGTGGATACGAGTTGAATATCTTTGAGGAATTTTCACAAACATCTGGAGGGCCTGATCGTAACAATCGGCAATTATAGTACCCAAGGACATACTAAGGGTGCACATGGCAACGATTCTGTACCCGGAAATAATTTCTAAGCATTTGAAAGTGTTTGGTAACTGCCTAAAATTTCTATTCTTAGAATAGAAAAAGAACAGAAATGTGTTTGGTAACTACACAAAATTTCTTTTTATTAATAATATTTTAATAACATTTTGAATTTTTTAATATTTTTTTCCTTTTTTATTTTTTTAATATTTTTTTCCTTCCCCTTCCTTGGCCATGGCCGGTTGCCGGCACCGGCACCGGCACCGGCAACCGGCCACAGGTCAAGGCCGGCGAGGGCGTCGTGGCCCTCGCCGCCGCCCTCATCGGTCACGACGGCGAGGTCGGCCTCGCCATGGCCTGGCGAGGCCTCGCCGTCGCGGTCGCGAGCCGCCCTCATCAGCCCTGGCCGGCGGTAGGCCAGCGGCAGACCAAGAAGAGAAGAATAACAAACCAAAAAGGAAGAAAAAAATAAAGAAGAATCAGAAATGGAAAATTTGTTCCAAAATTAAAAAGCTAGTAGCTTCTTGATTCTGTTCCAAAACTGATTCTGGGAATAATTTTTTGCAAATTTGTGCCTAGGTACAAACATTTTAACAAACGAATTTCTGTTCCCAAACTGATTATGGAAACAAAAGAATAGAAATTTTCACTATTTGGCAACTTGCCAAATGCCTCCTGAATGATGAGGATGAATTCCTCCCAGAACAGTAGAACGTTTGCATCAGGTGGGTTAAAACAACAACTCAAGTGATAACCCAAAAGATCAAACGTGGATACGAGTTGAATGTCTTTGAGGAATTTTCACAAACATCTTGAGGACCTGACTATAACAATCGGCAATTATAGAACCCAAGGTCAGACTGCATGCTGAGGATGAATTCCTCCAAGAATAGTAGAATGTTTGCATAGGGGGGGGGGGGGGGGGGGCCTAACAACGACTCAAATGATAACCCAAAAGATCAAACGTGGATACGAGTTGAATATATTTGAGGAATTTTCACAAACATCTAAAGGGCCTGACCGTATCAATCGGCACGATACACCTATGGATTTCTAATAGTGAATCAAACGAACATGAATGATTTTGAAAACATTTTCTTAAAATTGATCGCTTATATTGCTCACAAAAATGAATGAATTTAAACATAAATTATTGTCGAAAATGAAAACTTTTTTTTATAGACTGATTATTTCAAGCGATCATTTTTAGGAAAATATTTTTCAAATTATTTATTTTTCGCGAGGCTTCGTTTGTTTCACAAAAAATGGACAGTTTGGTAAATATTTTCGTAAATATAATCGCTTGTATCGCTCACAAAAAATGAATAAATAAAAATATTTTTGTTGTCTATGAAGATATTTATATATAAATTATTATCGATAATAAAAATATTTTTCGTTGATATTTTTCATTGATTAATAAAATTAAGGGATGTAAGTAATCGTTTTTAGAAAAATATTTTTTAAATCATTTAATTTTCAGTTGCAACGAATGAAATTTTAAGTGTATTTTGTATCTTATGATCATAGAGCGCAAATAATTTGACTCTGTGCACGACAAAAGTCTTGATTGACCTTACGCTTTTCGAAATGTCCGTGGTACGCACGACAAATGAAAATTCAAACTCCAAAAGAAGAAAAGACCGCAAGAACGTTTTCCAACACCAGCTATCGATTTTCCGCAACATCGATTTTCGACTTTATAGACTCGCGTGATCTTGCTACGAAGCGAGACCGACCAATGATGATGCCGTTCAGAAAGGAATCGTGCAGGTTGTCCTAACTACCAACCGTCACATCAACTGTCGCTGCCCCGACAAAGACCAGGGTGGTGAGAAAAAGATGCGAACTTTCCCGGAAAATCCCGAAAAGTGTCGAAGGCTGCCTCGGATTTTCCCGGATCGAGAAAGAACGAGCAAGCTGCCCCCCTCCCCCCAGACCACGTCAAAAACGAAACGGGATCATCATGTAATGTAATGTATTTTTAATATGCAAAGACCGGAACTTTTGTCGTCCAAGGAAGCATTGACTCGGGCAAGTCTTCGTATTCCCGTACGGAAACGCCCGGCGAGCTATAATTCGTGCTTCGCGTCTGCCCGCTTCTCACCGCACGTTCGAGTCGTTGCGGAGACAGCGATCTGGTGGGGGATCTCGGGGGCTTGCGCAGTTCTTTGGAGGTAATTTTACGGAATGCATGAGAAGTGAAATTTGCCATTTTTGGATGTTTGTCACTGTTTATTTGTGGTAGAGAGATTCATAGTTTTTTCTGCTTGTGGGATTCATTCAGCTGAGTACAGGGAATACATGGGCTTCCTTGGATTTTTTTTCCTCTGTATAATTTGCTAGTTTGCTGTAGTCACTTGAAGCTCTCTCTTTCTCTCTCGGGTCTCCCCGTTTTTATGCTTTTGATATTGTGATTGAAATTGGAAAATTAGCCAAAAGAGGGGAAGTAAAAACCGCCGTGAAGGGAAAAATTCGCCGAAAGAAAATCTGTCTTCTTGGTCCTGTTCTGGGATTCTGGGAAATTGGTTGACTAAGAAAGTTATCATTCTGGATATGAGGGTTGCTTACGGCAGTTACACTGCGGTCGAGTTTTATTTCTAGTCTATGATAAGTTTGGTTATTATGTTTGTCTTCGCTTCTTTTGAACTTTCTCAGTTTCTTCTCCTTTGCACGCGTCTAAAGCGCGAAATGATGCGTACTACGAAATGGGGGATTAAAATGGTTGGCGTGGAGACATTTGCATATCATTGTGCTTATGCATTATAATGGAGGATGAACAACTTAAATTATCGGGCATCCAAAGGAACTGCAATTCAGTCAAGTGCACTGAGCCGTAGCGGTAGCATTACCTGAGGCAGAATATTCACTTTCATGTGCAAACTGAATATAACACGGTGGTACAAAACTGTTGGGAGATTAAGGTAATAAGAAATCCATGTAGACCGAAGAAAGATGAGCGGAGCATGAATTAGTTTGTAATTGGTCTTTATACTGTGTTGGAAAATGATGACCCATTGTGTTACAAGGTCAAGGGACCTTCATATGTTAATGCCAAAATGAATCAGAAAAACAGAGAGATTGTGAGACGTTCATCTTTGCTATCCTGTGGCCTTGTGGATGTCGTTTAAATTCCTTAAGCCTTTTGTTCATCCCATTTGATCTTTGATTCATCCTAACAGAATACGAGAGAACTTGTTCACAACGCCATCTTTCCATCAACAAATAGCTGTGCTGGATCCTTTCACCGCGTGGAGTGGAACATGACTTGTTATAAACTACAGGTCATATGGATGCAGCTCGAATCTGAAGATTTTCGATGATGTTGTTGAACATTTGAGCAAGGAAATAACCCATTCTCTTAATCTTGTGCTCAACCATGGCCTTGGAGCTCATTCCCATTGGCACAATCTTGGCTGTGCTGACTAACCAGGTCATCAAAACAGCTCAAGCTGCAAAAGACATTCTCGTCGAGAAAGATAGTTTCAGAGTCCTGTCAAAACACCTGTTTGACATAGAACCTGTTCTGAAGGAATTGCAGCTCCAAGAGTTAAACGACTCGCAAGCCGCTCGGCTAGCACTGGAATCCCTCGAAACTGATGTTAAGAAGGCTAGTAGCTTGATCGAGAAGTATAGGAACCGATCTCGGTTTTACTTGTTGGTCAGGTGCAGATACATAGTGAAGGAGGTAGAACAAGTGACAAGGGACATAGGAAGGTCCTTGGCTGCCCTATCTCTCGCAAACACTGAAGTGTTGTCCAACATTTCAGATCAGGTAAATAGGCTGCAGAATGAAATGCAGAGAGTGGAACTTGAAACTTCGCATTCTCAGCTCCAAATAATTGACAAGTTAAACCAGGGCATTAAGGACCAAAAATGGGATCAAGGCTTTGCGAATGACATGCTTGAAGAAATAGCACGCGCCGTTGGTGTAAATGTTGAGCCGTCTGCAATAAATGAGGAATTGGAAAGTTTCAGGAAGGAAAAGGAAGAAGCCGCACACCGAAAGGAAAAGGCTGAAGAATATTTCTTGCAACAGGTTATTGCACTGCTCTCCCGGGCAGATGCTGCAATTAATTACGAAGAATTAAGAACCCGGTATTTCCAAAGATTCCAGGTCATTGTGGGTTATGATGAAAGGGAAGAACAAATCCCGCCACTGAATGCCTTTGTTTGTCCTATAAATCAGACAACAATGGTTGATCCTGTGAGCCTTTGCACTGGTACCACCTGTGAGAGAGTGGCCATCGAGGCTTGGCTTGAAAGTGGCGAGAAAACTGATCCCGGAACGGGAGAGGTTCTTCAGGACACTTCTCTGAGGTCAAACCTTCTGCTGAGACAGTCGATAGAAGAATGGAGAGAGCTTAATTACTGTCTGAAAATCAGATGCTGCAAACGTAACTTGTCCTCTGGTTCTGATGAGTCGGTGAAAGAGGCTCTCTGCCAAATTCAAGAACTTGTGAGAGAAGATTCTGTTAACAAGGATTGGATCTTCATAGGAGGACTGGCGGACATCATTATCTCTATTCTAGGGAACTCACACAACAAAGATGTGAAGAGGAGGATACTTATTACCTTAAAGGAGGTCGTGGAAGGGCATGCAAGAAGTAAGGTAAGTGACAACGACTTTCTTGTAAATGGGAATAATGGTACATAGTCTTTGAAAGGAAGCAATTAACGTCTGAAAGAAAATCAGGTTGATTTTCCATAAATAATTGGCTTGTCCTTCGATTGTTTTTTTAATGTTGAGGACTTACCACTGGTAAAATTTACGAGTAGAGTATCGGCATTCTCTTAATCAGACGCCTAAGTTGGTCAGAACTCTAATCTCAATCTCTAGAAGCTGTGTCATGCTTTATATGCACCCGATTTTCCAGGAACAACTAGTTGAGTCCAAAGGTTGGGATTACATCATTCCTTGTTTGGGGCGTGATCCAAGCATCTCAAAGGCAGCTATTGCATTGTTATTCGAGCTATTGCAAGATAGATCTGGTTGGAATGTGTCTGCATGCAAGAAACTGTCTCAGCAGTGCAGTTCTATTCTTTTCCTTGTGACACTTTTGAGAGGTCCGGAGACGGAATCAGCAGAGTATGCCAAGAAGATCTTGGATAAGTTGCTCGATGTGGATGAGGAGAACATATCCTGTGCTGCTAGGTCAGGCTGGTACAATCCGCTTGTTGATCGCATAGTTCAAGGTTAAAACTCTTTATCCACCATCTTCCAATGCTGTTGATGCTTGTGGCGTATGCACTAAATTCCTAGTTTTGAATGCCATTTTATTTCACGTGGCTAAATCTGTGGATGCTTCAGAATTGCTGACTGCTTTTGAACCTTACAACTCCCGGCAACCTACTTATCAGGGGAACGAAAAACTCCACGGAGCTGATCACCCAAGTAAAACAACCCTATACCAGATAGTGGATTACAAACACCTGATAAAAGGAAAAATTACACGGTATATCAGGGTAAAAATTGGGCTTTGGAGTGGATTAGTTAGACATAAAATAGAGTTTAAGTACACGACCGTAATGCCATTTCCATGTATCTCAAAATGCAGGCCACTGTAAAGACATTAGACTACACATGAAGAGAAGACATTATACTCTATATAAACAAAGACTAGTTGGAGTGAATTGAGCACGTGTTAATTTGTAGCACCATCATGATAGGCCTTTCTGACATCTTTTATGCTCTTTTTCTACGAGTATGGCACAAGTTTTATAATTGGCTTTTCTTGTTTGTTGGTTACCTGGAATATTGCCAGGTCCACAGTCATCGAGAACGTCGATGGTGACATATCTGGTCGATATGGAATTGGTCGATGCAAATCTGGAGATCATTGGTAAGATGGGGGTAATACCACCGTTGCTTGAGATGCTACTGGGCAGATCTGAATCAAAGGAGCTGTCTCTCCGTGCGCTGGTCAAGCTATCAAGTTGCGGCGCCAACAAAGAACTTCTAGCTGCTTCTGATGGGGTCTCTCACATTATAAAACTAATGTTCACATCCCACGAGCGTCCGGCTATAATAATCAAATGCTGTGAACTCCTTGAGAAACTCACTTCTGATGGAGATGGAATCAAATTCCTTGTCAATGGAAGAGGCACCCAACTTGAGTTAGAACCGATCATAACTGGTATGTTAGCGTTTCAACAGAGTGCCAGCTCATCAAATGCGCGGAGACCGGCCTTGCGTGTGATTCTAGCTATTTGCAACTCCGAACCTGAACTGGTCAAGAAGGCAGTTTTGGCTGCAAATGGAATATCCATTGTCCTTCCACTCATCGATGACTCAGACTCGGAAATCCGTGAAGTTGCAATAAAACTTCTCTTCCTCTTTTCACAGCATGAACCGCACGGAGTTGTTGAGTACCTTCTTAGGCCAAGAAGATTGGAGGCCTTAGTGGGGTTTCTTGAGAATGAAGATAAGAGTGATGTGCAGATGGCAGCAGCTGGCTTACTGGCCAATCTTCCAAAGTCAGAAGTATCACTAACTACGAGGCTAATCGAGTTGGATGGAGTTGATGCGATTGTGAAAGTATTGAGATCAGGAACCATGGAAGCAAAAGAGAATGCCCTTAGTGCACTCTTCAGGTTCACAGACCCCGCAAATGTGGAGTCACAGCGTATTGTGGTCGAGCAAGGAGTTTATCCTCTACTAGTAAACTTTCTCCGGGTCGGTTCTGTGACAGCCAAGGCAAGAGCAGCAGCTCTCATCGGTAATCTATCAATGAGCACTCCAAGGCTCGTTATGGCCACTAAACCTAGCTTTTGCTGGTGTTTCAGTGCACGTGTGCATCTATGCCCGGCCCACGGCAGCAAATGTAGTGTTGCCTCCACGTTCTGTCTCCTGGAGGCCAATGCTTTGCCTGATTTAGTCGAACTCTTGAGGATACAGGTTCATGCAACAGCATACGAAGCAATTCAGGCACTTTCCACGCTGGTGAGGGAAGGATCTCCCAACAGAGGTGCAACCACTCTGCACGAAGCCAATGCTATCAGGCCCCTCTTGGAGATCTTGACATGGGGAATGGATTCACTCAAGGAAGAGGCTTTGGGATTCTTGGAGAAGATTTTCCACTCAAAGGATATAGTGGAACACTATGGATCAACGGCTAAATTGCTTCTTGTTAGCATGACTGGCCGGAACATTCATGATGAAAGTCATATTGGTAGGAGGGCCGCCCGTGTTTTGTCACTTTTGGAACGATATTCAAAATCGTCAACATCTATCATTCCAGGAATATATGGATAGTCATCATCTTAAGGTCTGGAAAAAGTCTGCTGCAATTTATGTTGAATTATCTATGTATTTGCCCAGATTTTCCATGTCCCAAGTACTCAAGGTACACAGATGGCCCCTTTAACTTGTCTATAATTATGTAAATGACAAATTTTGTAGTTAAGTGACGATTAAGTATATCAGATTATTATCAGTGTGACATTTTGCAAAGTTCTTTACTCTGTAAAGACAGGATTACTGCGTCTTAAGACTTAGCCAACATTGTGACCACTGAAATTTTTTGCCAATATATAAGGGAAGCTTGCCGACTTTGGAATTGTACATTCACTGTGAAGTTCAAAATTTCTTTGCATCATTAGGGGAACCAGAACTTCCCTCTTTTTCAATATCACGGTTTCATTAGTAAGTGTTCTTCTGTAGGTAATGTTCCTAAAACACTATTGCATCATGAGCTTCTATTAGTAGATGCATTAATGCAAATGATGTCACCAATGCGATTGTTTCCACGACAGTCGGCACATGTTTTCGGTGCAATTGTTACTTCTAGATTTGCTTATTCATTTGGACAAGTACAACAGGGCTAAACTTCTAGCAGACATTGGTGAGCATTCTCCGATGATTCCTGCAAACGAGTTAGCTGCATGCATCAAACCATCTAATTTTGGAAAATTACTAGCCGTGCAAAATCCTATTCGAATCAAGCGCTCGTCATAAATTTGAGAGTTCTCTGCTCGGTGGACTAGTAATGTAAGTTGATAAGTAGCTCTGTCAAACTTTGCTGTCATTTCATTCAAGGTTTCTGTGTACTTGTCCCTCGGCGTCTCTGTGGTGGGATGTCATTAAAACGTCGTCCCTAATCTTCGAAAAGCAGGGACGTCATGGTCAAGCGCTGGCAAAACATGTCCCTACGTACGCTGCTTGTTGCAGTGATTGTTGAGGGCGTTGCACTTTTAGTTCTTCAGAGCACAGATGAAACCTGACAAAAAATGAATGCATAGTCCACATGGCCCATGTTCTGCCAGGTTCAGGTTCTTGGACTGTTTCGAAGTGTTCCTGAACATGCATCTACTGTCTGAAAAGGTGTGCCTGAAAGTTATCACTTCGGCGAGGAACCAGAGTTTCTACGTATTTAACTTAAAGGTTCATTTAGTATTTGATAAAAAGTGCAATCGAATCTTAAAATTTTTAAAAAGTACAATTAAATCTTAAAATTTGTTACGAAAGTACAATTGAGTCATCAATCTTTTAAAAAGTTCAATCAAATCCTAAAACTTACCATGTTGGTGCAATCAAGTCATAAAACTTGTTAGCATTTCATGTTTGTCAGGTTGAATGGAGTTAATAGAAGGACTTGATCGGATCAACTTGATAAGTTTTAGGACTTGATTAAATTTTTCGAAAGTTTTAGGACTCAATTGCATTTTCATAACAAGTTTTAGCACTTGATTGCATCTTTTGAAAGTTTTAAGACTCAATTGTATTTTCATGACAAGTTTTTAGACTTCTAGTCAACTTATCCCTATTTCTTATTACATAATAAATTAATATAAAACGTAAAGTAGTATAGATTATTTTTTGTTGTCGAGTAGTAAGAGTTTTATTGAAATAATTTTAGTTAATAAAGTTTTCTTTAATATATTTTGTGTAAGTTCATCATTTCATAAGCTCGTCAAAATTAATCATTGCATTAGTGTTTTACTCAAACAAAAATTAGTCTTATGAAAGGTTATGAGTTCCTCCTTATTTTGCAAGATATCTAAACAACCATATTAAGAAAAATGTTTCTTATCTGATCATTAATAATGAAAAGTAAGACAAACAAATTTTGATAAACATTTAAAAAGAGAAAAAAAAACAAAAAAAAATTTATAAAAAATAATGTAGCCCTTCAACAAGCAGTTTAGGGCTGGACTCAGTCATTCCCTGAAATTAGTTGGCCCTTTGCTCCTCCCTGGATCCGCCTTTGTCGATAGCTGTTTTTACAGGCATGAGCGTAAAGAGTCGATTACTTGGAAACACATGAGATGAGACACCCTACAAATTTCACGAATTAGTTATGCCCCGGGTCGAATAGACGGCCCCAATCCAGAGCAGTTTGCATGTAGACTGCGAGATTTAGATACGCGGCCTCCAATTCCTAAGCGTGAAAATCCCCTGATGCCGTCAAGAAACGCGCCGCGCTCGAGGGGTTATGATATAACTGTTTTCCCTCGCACTTAAAGCCTCCAATATAAGTTGATATCAATTCTCCGTTCAGTAGTTTTCAAAATCGCCCACCTGTGATATCTCACGGCAGATTAATAGCTATTTTTACCAGCTAACCAATCTCATACGGAGTTTCATAATTGTGATCCGATGGTGTTCTGGGCCTCCTGGTGCTGCCCTAGAAAATAACATCTAAACCTATCCCGATTCGGTGTGTGCAACTAATTCAAATACGGAATTTGTATGAGAGCCCGTGTCTTTTACACGATCCACAAAACATATCGTATCGACTCGTCCTATAGGCGCGTGATGGACAGATCAATCACGGTGCGTAAATTATGTATGAAATTTTCAACTTTTAGTAGGATTTCATACGTAATTGACTTAGTCTAGAAGAATGAATGAATCTCGATGATACTTACCATGAGAAACGCCGTAATCTTGTTGCTCTTGAAATGTATTGATTCGATACGATAAAATGAGTTTAGTTGACGATAATAATTTGACTTTGTTGACTCAAATGTGAGGGACCCAAGTAAGTAATAAACCTTCGCTCTTCATTTTCTTACTAATTTTCTAATTATTCTTTCTTGCAAATGATGTGCATTGGAGTTGACTAATTGACTGTTGCCCTCATTTTTGTAAAGTAACATGGGAGAGGTGCACACATTCGATGCCCGCAAGAAACTTCAAGGAATCTGTACTATAATCTCAAGAAGTTTCGCCCTAATTTGTTGTTGGGTGCACTCAAAGCAAGTAAAGGAAAAGATCGTCCATAGCAGTTGTTGGGATCTCCTTCCTTTCTTCTGTATAGGTTCATTATGTTCCTTCATGGGGATTTGCTTCAAAGTTTTGCATTTTGAAGGTAGAGAAGGGTTCGTTGAGAAAAAAAAATGTTTGGACTTGACCCATTCAAAAACGGTGTTGATCAGCCGGAACTCAAAGTGCTGGTCTTGAATGTTGAACACCGATGCCTAGTTAAAGTGGAAAATTACCGAGTTAGTCTGAAAATTATTATACGGATGTCAATTCAGTCCTAAACTTTTCAATTGTACCAATATAATCTTAAATCTTTGCATGAAGTTCTAATATAGTCATTTCAGCTAATTGCAGCTGAAAATCTATGATGTGGTGGTCTATGTAGAACGTTGTTTTGAGTAAAGTTATCCATGTCAATAGCAAGGCCCGGGGTAGGCCAGGCTCTCATATCAAGCCAAGATTACAGCCCGAGCTCGCCCATTAATAGTTTAATAATAGTAATACTAAATTTGTGGCCTAAGTAGGCCCGACTCGGGCCAAATTGGGTTGAGCCGAATCCTATAACTATAGGCCATAGCCCCAGCTCATCTAAAGACGCCGTTAAGCTCTTTAACTCAAGCCTAGCTAGGGCAGTGTTAAACCACCAAACCGATGATCAAGTCTACCGACTGATCAAAGGTATAGTTGGAGGAAAATATGGCCCCTTGGGGAAATATTATCTAGACTTAATCCCTTCAATTTAATCAATCACTTATTAGGTGAAACCTACACCGAACCTTGCTCTATCTGTGTAGTCTTTTGTCTAGGAACTCGGTGCCCCACTAGTTAACCATGGTTTCTAATTTATTAACTTTCTTGCTTGTAATTAGTGTTTGTTTCCAATAGGATTAAGAGATTGACAAGGTGCAAGAGATTTTCACATGAATATTAATTTAAGGTACTCCTCAGGTAATTTTTGTTAACACAGGATAGCTGAACCGATCGACTTAGCCAAATCCCCACAGAAGCATGCAAATTGTCTCGTCCACCAACGTTGCGTGAGGCTCTACCCATAAGAGGGTGAATGCGACTTCCAAACGTTATTCAACTCCATAGAAGACTGAGTGTGAAGAAAAGAAAAGGGCTCCTTCGACCAAGCTGAGAACATCACTCCAAAGAGGCAATCAATAATCAAATTGAGTAATTTACAAAGTAATCTCAAGACAGGGAGTTTATCATTTGACTTTCTCTGGGCAGTGTACCGGATAAGATAACGTGAGAGTTGTGTTTCTTGTCTGCCTCATATGAACAGGCGGACGCAGACATAGATGTCCATACGCAAAATCTTCACGTACCAAGTGGGAATCGGGTCGTGTAGGTGAGAAAATGGGGGTTTGTTGTTGAATCAATTCATTGAAAACGTGTGGCTGGCAGATCACGGTCACATCAGGAATTTGAATTCGCTCTCGAGTTTTTCTTTTGGCTTTTGTTTTTCCGGTGGAGTTAATGGGAAGAGATGACTTTCTCTTGTGAAGTCAAAAGACCACAGCGTACCTGACGATAGCCATTGGCCCATTACAACTGTCTCTCGCCAGCACCAGCAACATTGTCCCTTTACACCTCTCTCTCTCTCTCTCTCTCATATTAAAGTAAGAGCCAATACGAAGAAAAGCACTTTCTCTTATCGTAAAACCTTAAGGAAACTGCAAGATGGAAGGTTCAAATTTGAGATTCAACTAGCCCCAACGGGAAAAGTTATTTAAAAAATCTTAAACATATTACACTTTTACTAATTTAGTCATAAATCTTTCAATTTTTCTAATTGAGTTATAAATCTTTTATTGTTTTGTCAATTGAGTGTATCTGATCAATTTTAGCTGAAAATCGCCAACATGAACTCCGGTTATGTCACATAAGACGGTCGGCCCTCACCCGTGACCGGCGAGGGCTTTGCGTGCCTTGCCTAGATCTAGCAAGGGCCGCGAAGCCCATGGCCTATGAGGGCCTCGTGGCCCTCACCCAGTGGTTGGTGAGGGTTGACTATACCGACAAGGGTTGGCTAGTGGCCCTCGTTGGGCTTGGAAGAAAAAAAAAGAAAAGAAGAAAAAAATACGAAAAACATTAAAGTATTATAAAAAATTGTTAACGTTATCGCTAGCTGTTCTACGGGCCGGCCATGCCACGTAGGACGGCTAGCGTCTACATTAGCGATTTCCAGTTAAAATTGGCCAGATGGATTTAATTAGGAAAATGTGAAAAAAATTTAG